CTCTCCTTGAGTCAATCCTCTTTGATTTCGATTTCGAGGTCCTGAAGTAATTAAACAAATAGAAAATTCTAGAGGCGCCATCTTTACGGAGAAAACAGTTGATAAGAAAGATATTTGCTGATGAAAACGAAAACTTCAATCCCCTCGACGGATAAATTCTCTTCGATTAAAAAAAAACGAGGTTTCCAAAGTGATGAATATGACAAATAGATCCATTGTAATATATGAATATTATGATCATGTTATTAATAAAAATTACGTTTATAGGAATGGTATTCTTTGATGTGGAGATAATGACAAAGACACAATTGCAGTCGCATGAATTTCAAACGGAGAAAGTCGCTTTCCCCATGAATATTCCCAAAGGTGAATTTGACTCCAATTATCGAGCCCTTTATGGTTCATCAAATTACACAGATTTTCCACCCCTTTGAAGCTGGAAAGCTCCACTGAATAAATGGCTAGGGTAAACATAAAATATTACAGAGACAAGGTAGATTCCCGATGATTACGGAAGCCATTCAGCTGGATCAAATGATATTCAGATCCCTCACCAGAGATAAAGTTCAACTTCACTATTATTCAATCTCCAATAAAACCAATTCACATCGCAAACCCCACTACTTCATGAAGATAAAATACAAGGTTTGTAACATCGGAGGTAAAAAATGTAAAAGGACTCAAAGTGACTTCAAATCTAATTAATATCGATGGAGGTAATTGCGTAATGACTTTTGTATCACCACCGCCCACGCTGGGAAGTGCCTCAATCTAGTATACATGTAAATAGATAAAAATTTATTTTAAGACGTACAATCTCCAATGGATTTTTCAGTCTTCAATTAAACCTTAGGAATAAGTGGTCCTTTTTCGGTGGATGGTACAGCTGGGAAAAATTCTCTTTGTGTAAGTGCTCTTCGCCATCAACTCGTGTCCGCTGCATTAGGACATTACGGAAACAAACTAATCGGGTTTACCCCCTAACCCATTCGCGGGAGCAACATGAACTTGCGCAGAGGGGTCGTTATCAAGTGTCACTGGCGGTGAAATTTGCCCGAGCGTCAGTGCGAGCTGTGATACCATGGGGAAAGCCTCACCAGCTCAATCCAGGACTGATAACAAAGTGATAAGTGGAGATGTACAGATGAATCACTCGGAGGTGTAACGAATATTTTCGGGGTTCACGTTGACATGACACTTGGACTTTATTCAATTGATAATCACGTTTGTAATCACGTGAGGAATGATAAGGACCGCACAGCATGCCACAGGTGTTGGTGGCCCGTGCCAGTTTCACTGTTTGATTCTAGGTGGAAAGATCTCCCTGAAACAATCATAGACACATCCATTATTCCGCTATTTCAAGTCAACATTTCCTTCGACTGACAGCGATGATCTTTCAGTCTCATGACACTATTGAAAATTTTCGTCTAAAACTTCAGGTGAAGCTTTCAGAAATTTGGATTATATTTCAATTTCACGGGAATCTCAGGGGATTCAATCATTGAGAAGTTAGAGTTCAGGGAAAAGAAAATTCTGGAAAAAATACCGTTGAGTTTTCAGGGGAAATTAGCACTGAAATTTTCCCAGTAATTAAAAGACACAAGTGCGTAAACTCCGAAAAATCTTGAAAATGCGACCGTCACGATCGGATCTGGATTCGATACCTGATCAGTACCTGGAGACAATAGCCCATTACCTGATGGGCCTGAGGAATGACACGGTGGACCTCTCGAAGCCGCAGCTGCGGCCGTCCTTCACCAACAATTATCCTCTCTTTATTCTGCTGTACGTCTTGATGATTACCTGTGGTACAGCCACCAATATCGGAATGATTTACCACATCATGCGGCATCGGCTCTACCAGGATCCCACATACGCCTATCTCATCAACATCGCAATATCGGACGTGGTAAAATGCATTTTCGTGCTACCCATTACCCTGGCAGTGCTGCTCGTGCAGAACTGGATATTCGGAAAATTTCTCTGCTATTTCCTGCCAATGCTCCAGGTGAGTCTATTACAAATAAATCCATACGGCGTAAAAATCGGATAGATTTTTTTACAGTGCGTGCTAGCTGTCAGGGAGAGAATGAGAGCCTATCGAGTGGAATACTGGAGCAATGAGCAAGTGTAAATGAAATAGAATCGCAGCATGTGTAATCTGAGACGAGTAATGCTAAAAAATGGTGTCTATTCACCTCCAATTTCCCATCCAAGTGGCCCATTAGCTGAGTAAAATTGGTGGAGGGCAAATGGCGCTTGACGCCGGTCATTTTCATTATCTCGGCTTGATCGCGGTGACGATTATTTTATGCCAATTCTACCTTGAATTGCTGGGGATGGGCTTTCCCGGGGTAATTACGTGATCAGAGGTCGCACACTATTTGGAATAATGAATCGAATTCGAGTCCTGATGAATTCACCGGGTGAATTGGATTGCAGAGAAATATTGGCAATCCTTCGTGATGATGATATTCCAAAATCCCAGGAGTGATGAGGCAATAGGCATTCATCAGCAATACTAGATTGCATTTTTACAGTGAAGATTTTCGTCAGGAATTTTTTTTTTCATTATCAAAATATCCATGGAATTCCATGGAATGTTCGATTGAGAGGAGCCAAATAATTATAATAATTACCTGGATTTTTAATACTCCGATTTCATTGAATATTTGAAGAATCCGTTCATTGGTATTTGTTAAATGTTTCTTGATTTTTTATGGGCTGTGAAAATTTAATAAATTACCGAGAGAGAAATGAAAAAGAAAGTGTGAATTTTTTTTCCAAAATATTCTCATGAGTGCACGTGGACGTCAGCGGGTGCGATGGAATATTCAGTGGAATGGAGGTTGTCAATCAAGAGTTTAATCCTGAAAATGTAAAGTTATATCAACGTAGGAAAATCCACAGGAGCTCAGTGCCCCCGAAAAATGCGCAAATGTATTCACGCCAACACATGCTCTTGACATGTATCCAGACAATTTAATTACATGAGTCACACCGCGCCTCAATATTTCATTTTAATAATAAAACTATACAATTGGTAATTGAAATTTCCATTTACATGAGCCCCTCGGAATTATCAGAACGTTTTAAACCTGAGAACTGGCAGTCAATCCGTTTTATAGGGTCCTAAGGTTTTCTAAGGTCCTCCTGGAACTCAGGCTTTCATCCTGCACTAATTGGAAGCTGCGGTTAATGAGACAGCATTTCAAATAACAGTTAAAGCACGGAATGCAATACCTTCGGGTCGCATTCATTTACAAGTCATACAATGACCGAACAAAGTACCTTTGGCGTAACTTTCGGTTGTGTAATGTTACCTGCATTTTGGAAATTGAACCGGTTGGGTCTATAAATTACCGACCCTGTGGGTGTATTCATGGAAACTCGGAGCTTCTGACATTCGATGGGTACATGTACGGATATTGGAATTGTAATTGACGTATCATTGCGACCCGCGAATTTTCAGTCACGCTGAGATATTTTCAAACTCAATTAACGAGTTCCGGAAGTTTATTGTTGTTTGAAATTCGTGACTGCGTTATTGTAGTGTTGAGCAGTAGTTGATTCTCGGAATTAGCAAAACCGAGAGTCCTATTTAAATAATATTTTATCTTGTTAGTATGTTGATTATTACGTTGACAAAAAATTCATTGAATTGAATTATGTGTTAATTGTCCACGCGGCACTTGGCAATCTAAAACAAATTAACGTCGTCTAATTATTCCCCTCAGGAATGAAAACTTCCCACCAAGAATGCATAATGGAGTTGCAAAGTGAAATGAAAGGACGAATAAAGGAAACGGGTAATTCGCATTGTCAAAGCAGTTAATTATTCTCGTTTGTGTTGTGGCATCTCTCCGTGAGAGTTTTCCACTCCACAGAAGAGTAAAATATTAATAAACCATTGTTTATCTTTGCCGAATATCATTTACTCCGAACTGACGGCGAGCCAATAAAATTTGTGCAAAATGGAAAAAACTGTCGGAGTGTAAATAAAACACTCGACAAACAGCCGCACACGCCGGAAAATACTATCGGCTAATTCAATTGTTCTTCCGCCAATTTTTAGCCCCGGAAATACGCCATTTTTTTTCCGCATCCAGTGTCTTCAATGAAAACAAACTCGATGTGAAATATCAGGGATGCTGTAAATAGTGAATGCTCTCCAGTACGTTCTATATGGAACGATATTCTATTGTGATTGCGACCATAAAAATTCGCCTCTGTGAATTCAATGAATTTTATCCCATTCCATTTTGTTGTTCCTCAGTAGAAAATTAGAAATACCGAGAGACAATAATAGAAACTTGTGACGAAAACACTGAAAATTGGATAAATAACTCTGAAAACAGATTAACGAGAATCAAGATAAATAGAGATTATTATTTGGTAATGAATAAAAATTGTTTTGATTGCGCAAACGATGTGGTATTTTCCGTGTGTAATTATACTCTCAATAGGTCATATCTCCAGTCCCGGTCAAAAATACGGGTGAGAAGGAACAGATGGAGTTGATGAAAATGAGGGTGACCAAATGAAATCGGAGCCGGGACACAGAAGGTTCCATTAAATTTATCCAGACGCAATGCTGTGTGGATTCTTCACTTGAGAGGAAGTGGATTGAAACGGCTCTAGGGAAAAAAAATAAGAACACGATGTGAGGGATGGGAAACAATAGATGGAGATAATGGGAGCTCTTAGAGATCTCCAGCTTCATCAGCAGTTGGAGATAGCGGGATATTATATCATGGGAAATGTATCAATTTAAAAATTATTTGTGCTTCGACTCTTGATTTTTGTGAGACACTGCGATAATTGACCTTGGTTAATTGACCTGGAGTTTATGGAATAATTAAAAAGAATAATAAACATTGGATACATCACGAGTCAGTGGGTAGAATGCGGTACTTTCCGAGCGGAGACACTCATTTCCGTGTAGAAATATTTTATCATTAATTTCACCGCAGAGTGGTGGAGTAGAAGTGGCCATTAACCAAGGCCCCAGTGTTCTAGGGTTTTGAAATATTTTGAGACCCAGTGGGGTGAGGAAAGGATCGAATTAACGCTCGCAGAAGGCAGAACCGGCAGAAGCTCTCAGAAGCCAATGTCAGGAGCAAGTCGTAAAGTTTGTTAATTAGTACTTACAAATTTAATTTCCCAGGATCATAAAGTCTTGGCAACTTATCTATTAAGTCCATTAAAAATTGAGACAAAATCAGGGATCAACAACTGCAATGAAAAAATATAAAATAAATAAAAGAAATTGAATTTGTTTCTAAAGTTTTGTTGGGATTTGGATTGATGGAGTAATTTGTATAATTTCTGCAATGTTTCAGGACATACCGATCCATGTATCGATGATGACTTATTTATTGATCGCTGGTGACAGATATCGGTTCGTCAGTGTTCCCGGAAAGCCGAGAATTCCAGCGTTTGTCTGCGCTCTCGGCATCTGGTTCTTCGCGGTTTGCATTGTCTTACCGTACGCGATTTATACTACTTATCTGGATCTCGAGGTAATCCGATTTACTTTTGAAATCACCGGTGTATGAATAATTCGTTCACGGATTACATTCCCAAGTGTCGAGAAGAGGCCCCCAGGGATGAATGCTCCATGAGAAAAATTTTTATGATGTCGTGAAAATAGAAAATGTTTATCTCCAGGTTTCTCTGATGGTTGATGATTTTTTTAGACCTACAAGAAGCTGCACTTCCGAGGCCTGGGGATTTGCCTGGCCAATCTCACCGATGATATCCAGCAGTACATGAGGAGTTTATTTTTACTGACGTGGGTATAATTTTTTTATGATATCCACACGAGATTGCACAGCGATAATTCACAGTGAATATTTATTAATCATTAAGAATATTTTCAGTTATATCGCTCCATTAACGGTGACGGCCTACCTCTACGTGAAGGCCAGCAGAGAACTCCAGGATCAGGATGAGCCTATGGCAGTTGCCATGTTCGAGGCAAGAGCGAAGAATTCCTATTCACGACATGACAGCAACACCAGCCACGATGTGACGTAAGTGGAGCCCTTTTGATTCTAAATGAGCTGTTGTTTGTTGGAAATTAATGAGAATAATAATAAAAATAATAATAATAATAGAAATGGGAACATTGGGAAATTTTTCGATTAAACTTTAAATATTTCCATGCGTCAATAAAAAAATCGTACCGTGGAAAAGTCGTGCTTAAAAAAATCCTTTTGTTTATGCTCTTGGAGATTTTTTATTCCTGCAGCGAATGGTTGGATGGATTTTTTAATATCTGGAGACTCTTTACAAGGAAAACAGATGAAACAAAAATCGTAAAAACGAATATTCATGAATGCGAGGTAATACTAAAATCTGTTCAACGCAATCATCAGTATATTTCTCTTTATCTCGTGTTCCAATGCTTCATACATTTTCATCTGTGATTAAAATGATACTAAGTAGCAAGTCGCCAACAGAAAAAAAAACGGGGTTACCATTCCATTAAAACAATACCTGTGCAATGTGCCGCGGTTTGGACCAGAGAATTACCGCAGTGGAAATATTCGGAGATAAAGAACGGCGAGCCAACTCCTATTAACAAAATAAAACCACCGGGTCTTCCTATTTTTTTTTTTTTGCCCAGTATTTCCTGATAATTACGGAAATAAACCGACACGATGGAACAGCATTTATATTTTCGAGTAGATAACGCACTAATGGATGAATAATAGAGGACAAAAAGAGAGGAATAATCTAGGTCCAGAAAGCTGGAATCCGCATGCGGATTTATCTTGACTTTTTATTTATTTTATTCCACTCGCGCACGTGGTGAGGAGAATGGATAAAAAATAGTTGAGAATAAAGACCGTTGGGTTTTTGTTCTACTGGTGTTTTTACTGACACTAACTTTTTACGCTATAGTGACATGAATTGGATTTCTCGACGGTTAATGTAGACGAGCGGAATATATCCGCGGGGGACATTAAGAAAACAGCTTTTCCGGATTTGTATGGAGCAAAATTTTTTTTTTAATGTTCGCCAAGTGTCGACAATTGAAATAATAATGTAATTTTGAGATAAAAATCATCAATGGCGGCTTTCTTACAGATCGACTTGTGCAGATTTGTATGGACTAGGATTCGGAGATGTTCCATCATCTAGATTGAACCTGGAATGAAGCATAAAAATTCAGAATACTGAGACATTGGGATTTAAATCGGTTTCTGCTGTTAAATTGTGTGGAAAATTGGGATTATTTGTGTCGAACGCGTTCGATATCGATTCTACATTATGCATCTGCGGGAATATATAATGGCATCGCCAAGGTCACTCACGTGTTTTTTCTTTCTGGTTTCATTGCAGATCACTTCGAGATGGAAAACGTGAGAGTGGTAGCATGATGACTGGAGGAACTGTCGGGCTTTCCGGTTTCTCAACTACATACGACCTTTACGACGCTGAGCTGGACGTCAGAAAGGAAAAACGCACGCAGAAGTACCTCATCTTCATGGTGTCGGTTTTTGCGATTCTTCTGTGTCCCCTCATGGTCCTGAGGCAAGATCATTTTTTTCCTGGCTGATGCAAATCCGCAGATGAGTCATAATCAATTAAGAGAGAAAATGTTTTTCCTTTAATATTTTTCCTGTCAGTGGTGTGAAATCAAGTGTTGGTTGATTGAAAAATGGGATTTAGCAGGGATTGGGTAATAGCGTGACCGCCAATAAGAACCTGAAGAAGCTAAAACCTTGTACTGAGAATTTGAACTAAAACCACCCGATAAATCCCTGTCGATCGGTTTTTTCCCCGTCTCCATTCGTTTCATCCCCTGGATCCTCCCGCTTCCTGGAACCCATCCCGGTCTTATCGATAAATCTCTCCTCCCGGAACATTCGACTAATAAACATCCATCAGGTGTCACAACCGATCACACACCTATCCGATAGCTAGATGAAATTTATAAGACTCATGAACACTTTTCTGCCTCCATCCGTTGGAAAAAATATTTCTCCGGTTGAGGCCCCGCGGGACTATTAAACACCGATAAATAAAGTTTTTCGCGTGACTCTATTTGTTCGGAGATGACTGAGTACGGTATGAAAAAAAAAAGTACTTCAATGTCGATACGGAATTCTTTTATCGCGTTCCAATACTTGCTGACGATGTCAGCCCACGGGGATGGACTGTGGCTTGATAGAGGAATTGGAAAAGTTGCTTCGAGCTAATCCTTTGGTGGATAAGCTCTGGATTTCTTGTTACTCCGATTTCTCACGATAATTCACTCCAGAAATGGAAGGATTCGTTTCTCTATCACCGATCAATCGTTCCAACGAGCGAATTGTCTGATTGTGAAATGAGATACGAACGTTCGACAATGTCATAAATCCGAGTGAAATGACAAATTGAAATATCGGTATCACCTCCTAGCCGATCTATAAGAGAGAGATAATATGGTGAATCATCGCAGGTTAATTTATTTCAGTTGGAGGACTTCTGATTGTTTTTGGGAAATCGAGAAATAAAATTTCGTGACATTTTTATCGTTTCATTCATTATCCAAGATGAAAATTACTATTTGATGGGATATATTTTTAGATTTATGCATCAATAGCTTCGGGATGGCGTCACATATCCCGGTACCGACAAATATGCCATTCTGTGCAGTCACAGTGAGAATAGAATATTTCAGCAAATGAGAATAGCACTTGCACGTGCTGTGGATATTGCTTTCGATTGCTCGGAGCATACAATCTACGAATATGAAATATTCAATCACAATTTCATTCATGACAATACGAAATAGTTGCAGAAAATAAAAAAATGATGGGAAGAGTACGAAATAGAATAATTTCGTTTCCAAACGGTATAATTCATGGGAGGGAGACAGAAGAGGCTGCGCTGGATTTTTCTCAAGTTTTTTGCGGTTTCACAGCAGCCAAAGCAATTTTCGCTGAAAAGTTGGAGACTGGGGGGTGAGAGCTAATGAAAGAGGGAAAATAAAGTAACATTGTCAATCCGAGGCGTCTTCTTCAGACTCTCAACGAAAAATGAACGAATTATTCTTTTCTTCTACCCTATCTTGTTTTGTTTGACTTTCGGGGGATCTATTTCTCGGGGTGGAAACCCTCGTTGGGCCGAAAACTTTGGGAGGATAAGTGGCTCCCTGAGAAACTTTTCTTAGGATATCCGTCGCCTCTGTGGGAACGGATTTCATTCAAAACTGCCACTGAACTGAGAGAATTACACTCGTAATTTCTACTGAACAGAATTGCACCCCCGGGTAAAAAAAAAATTGTGATCGGAATATTTTTTTCAATTTTTAAAAAATTTCTGGAAAATTTTTCAGAATTTTTTTTTTGAAACAAAAAAAATTGGAAACCAATACAATTTTATTTTTCTTACCCGGGCCTCCCAATAATGATAATTGCAGAGAAAAAATTGGGGAAAGTGTGAAGGTGTTGTGGTTCGAGGGCTTTATGGATATTAATAATTTACTGGGGCTGGATGGACACCCATGTGGGTGTGATCACAAATTTTGAGACGTGAATGCCCTTTCGATGGACATATCCTAGGATCGATGGCGACGGCCATTCACATTAATCACTCGTCAATAACTCTTCAATGCAGAGAATATATGATACAGTCCACAATACGGGGAATTCGGAGGAATGATAGACGTGACCCAGTTTGAAAATGGGAAAATGTATTTCCGGGTTTAGCTGACATTCAATTAGCCTGCGGCATTCTTGGCCAGCGTTATAAGGGTTTAGATTGCACCCTATTCACCCGTGAAGAGACGTGGGATGCCCTTTGATGGAATCATGTGGAGGGAATTCCTTTTGAGAAATTTTACATGGGGATTTTTAATTAAAAGCAGGCCGACGATACAACAAAAATGATAAAGATGATAAAGTGGAATTTTGAGGATTGATTGGCTGTTTAAATAATCCGAGAAATATTTTGGAAAAATTTATGGATTTTCACTGTGAGTTTTAAATAATTTATTATTGTTCCAGATTGGCGAAACCTGCGCTTGTAGAAACGTACGAGAATACTGGCCACTTTGATATAACATTCATAATGTTCGTTTGGCTAGGATTCGCTTCAACTGTCACAACTCCAGTATTATATGCTTCCTGGCAGATGAGTCGGTGAGTAATCAGTGACAACAGTGAATGAAACTTGTTTCTGGTAATCAAATAAATCAGTGCTGAATATTCTGGTTGAGACGCGAATTAGTGTACGTCCGGTAAAATTTCAGACATGTCGTTGTCTCTTGAATTGTTCGTAGGGGTAAATTTTTCCTCGATGCGCCTCTTCTCCAAAACCATTTCTCCTGACCCCATCGATATTCTTCAGACATAAATCACTCGGATTCTCAACTCTTTGTCAAAATTTATTGACAATACCTGAAATTTTCTGGCTTCCACTCTTGCTTTGTCCAGGTACCACCTTTTCGTTGAATTCCATTTATATCACGTTTCCAGCGTCTCGAAATACTTCACATATGTGGAACCCTATTTGAACTTGAATGAACAAAGGGAAAAAGTAAACTTTTCACCTCGACTGGCACAAGTGACCTTTCACCGTATGATGATGGACATGATCGATATCAATCATCGGATGATGATGATGCCCTGTCATTCGAAAATTTTTTATTTCATTTTTTTTTCATTGGACTTCAATTATTCCATGAAGATTAATAAAAATTTATTCTGAAATCACCGAAGCAAATTATTTAGCCGCAGGGTTTTCGTTGAACTGACATTTTTCCTTCATGCAACCTCGGCATAATCCATTATTGACCTCACTGAGGACATTCCTGATGATTTATCCAGGGTTTCAAATTTATGCGATTTATATCCTTGAGATAAAGCCCTTCCGGATTTTCCTCTTTTGCAGGGAGCGATGGACCCGCACATTCTGTACTATTTTCCATTAAAATATTTTGAATATTAAAAATAATTTGAATACCAATTTATTCAAATAGCTCGATAAAAATCGTGATAGGAATAGAAGACTGCAGGATTGCTTTTAAAAATTTTGTAAATTCCCAGAGACCCGTGTCCCATTTGCTCTTGACAAGTGGAATTTTACCCGAATGCTAATATTTGATGCACATATCTCTGATATACAAATATCAGCTCCACCATTACCATCATAATAATGGCTTGTGGCTTTCCTCTTCCCCAACATTATTGTGAAACCTCTGAGTACACTAGATGTAGCCAGGATTTTGGCTGTAATACGATGTAGGCTTGCACAGTGGTTTAACATGCGGTGAAGCCAGTGAGGGAAGTAGTTCAAGTTTGACCCACTTACATGGAAAAACATATCCGAATGAATAATGGATGTAGGTGAGAGGGAAAAGCTTCGTCTAGTCGTATTAGACGTAGAAATACCAAAAGCGGAATGTCGCCATGATTAACGATGCCCCATGGAATATTCCATACGTCTTCATCAGGGATGAATGATCAGGAAGATGATCTTCCGCGGCCTGTCGATTTCCGCAATGGCGTATCCTCTGGACCAATCGTTTCAGCTACACTTATGCCTCACATTTGGGAACGTTTAACGGGGCGTGATGTCACTATCCGTTTATTCTCACGGCTCGATAGCACGGGTTTACTCATTCTGTTATCTGCGTGGGGTTTATGAGCCGTAGCTGCCGGCAGCAAGACGCCAAATGTACATATTTGTCTGCACGGCTTAATTTATATATCTAAAAGGTGAGAAGCTGCTGATACCGCTCAGCGTTCTCACTATCAGAGCTATCGGATCAGCTAAATTTCCTCTGAATTTCCCAAGGAAAATTGGGGAAATATATCGTGTTACTATTTTGCTGGAATTTCAAAATCCTTTGCCATTGAAAATTATGAATTTCGGGGAGAGATGAAACGAAATTGTCAATTTAGGATTTAATTGCATCGAATGAGTATTCGCTGCATTTTCCTTTATTATATAATTATGGGTTCAAAACATAATCGATTGAAGGAATGCGTCAACACACTGAACTGCTGAAGGGTGTACATAGTCGATCATCTGAGGGCTTAATCCACCCAAGAGTCACTCAATTTACCAGGAGTATTGATTATCGTTTGAATTATGGATGCATTGATCGTTGGCACGTCTAATTAGAGTATGAAATTGTTTGACTGCAGTACCTGACCGCCCCCATCCATGGAAAAGCCGATGAATGGACCGCACCTTTGCGATTCTCCTCGAACAAAGACCAACAACAATTTTCTATAGGACAACTCCAAAATGGCTTCCGTTCCCTCGTTAGTCGGGGATTTGTGATAGTTATATCGCATTAATTTGGGAACTCACAATGAAGTACTTATTCCATTTAATCCGTTCACTAGTCTTGGTGGATGGAATGTGGATTCAGCCACGAGGGTGTCATTAATTCTCAGCCCTGGAGAAAAATTCAGGTTATCACGGAGAGCCATGAATCCAACACCTGCCACCACTTCCAGCAGACCTCTTTCAGATGCCCTCCATCTCGCTAAATTAACCTCGCACCCGATCGATTTTCTGTCGTCAATGTCTAAACGCATCTCTCAACCGTTTTCAATGCGCGGATTTAATTGCAGAGTCGGTCCGAGCGCGCGGTGATGAGATAATGATCAACTGATAAAAATCACCTGCTCATTTTCAAATGAACCTTCATGTTCCACTTGACTTTCTCTGACATCACAGACTGGAGAACATTTTTTTCCTCAGGATTGAATGCTTTGACGTAGTGAATTCCTTGAGAAGAATGAAAAGCTCTAGAGGGGAATGTGCCAGATATACCGAGGGTCCGCTTCGGTGGTCTCTCTCTTGTTTTCTGTTGAAACATCCAGACCAATAACACGGGATTTCACCTAGCCCTTGCAATTTCAGTCGGAATATATCAAATCGTCGAGGGTTTATCTCTGCTACAAGTGGCAGTGTACGACTATGTCACCCAGACTTTCATATCCCCATAAATCTTGTCGATGTTTTCCCTTTAAGGGTTGAGTTAAAGTAGCGCAGCCCATCAAATCCCAGGTCCACTCCTTGTTTCTCACACCACTCAAGCCTCTCTCATCCCTTCACTTTTATTCCAGTTGAAAGGGTTCAGTTGGCATGAGGCATAAAAGCAATTGGAGTGTAGCGAAGATCGTTCACCTTTAACGGACAGGTTGTCTTATTCAGATTGATGCATCCCAGTCGTTAAGGGCTCCCTTTTTCATCTACTTTGGATGTAAACATCGAATTATTACCCTTACTGATGGTGAAAGAAGAATAAATCGATTGAGCTCATCGAGGACATCATTTCGGTGAGCCAATGAGAGTTCAGAGCATGTGGGGGGACCAGATGAAAAATCATCTCCAACTTGTCTTCTTCTCGGCGTGAGATGTATCGGCTTCCCTTCACTCATTCTGCTAATGGCTAATCATTTGTTCTTATTCAAAGCCAAAGTCCTTGGCACTCAGTCGACGGCTCCGATAATCTCGCAATTATTCCGTGGCGATTCTCTCACAACCCTCATGATGAATTTCACTTCATTATTGCGAACACAAAAGATCTGGGAAGCCAAAATTCATTCTTCAATTCTATTGTACGTTGTAACGACTGCATATAAATTTTCAAAAGAAATTTTCAATGGAAAATTCAATTGTTCATTTTCATTGGCTTGCGAGAAAAATCGTTATGAGAATTCAATCCCGTATTCGATTCCTCGCTATTTTTGAACGATACAAAAATGTTGAGAAGGACTTAAACGATAAGAAATGGATGGAGAAGTCGAATAGTCTCAGATGAAAATATCGGAAAAATGTTATAAGAGATTTTTCTGGGATGTATCACGCGACCCGCGACCCGTGCTGTAATATGTAACTCGAAAAAAAAATTCAACGGAAATGGGGTCGATCAATCGAGTAAAAGGAGTCAAGAATCCTATTCTAAAAAGGACACGCTTGACACAATCGAATATCTCGAAAATCTCGAATATCTCGAAATCATGAAGAGACGATTCATTATTGGTCCGCCTAAAGGTTGAAAAAAGAGACTGAGATCCACACCCTAGACATTTTTCCTCACGAAATTACGCAACAATCGTGAGGACGTGGTTTTGATTGAATTTCAATAATTTTTTTTTCAATAAATTTCCAGACCGGCGAAGGAGCGATTGAAAGGCTATTTCCAGTTTTCCACTAAACGACTTCCACCAGTACTGGAGAAGGGCTTGCGTCATGGAAATCGTCATGAGGGTGGTCTTGCCAATGTGGCGTACACTCCACAAGCAAGAGCTGGTAGTTTGAGCGGAAGCAACGGCAGTGACGAGTATCCCCGGGGTACCTCCAGCTTTCAACGTCCGGATCTCATCAACAATGCGCAGAGGATGAGTCCAGTACACTGAGCCAAAAGAATTATACTCTATTGAAATCGTCGATTCAATCTTTGATCACGTCAACCTGCTATTTCTTAAGAGTCGATATATTTAATTAACTGAGAGGAACTTTGGTACTTCAGTTTTTCATGATAAGATGAGAGATAAAAGGTAAAAGTCGACTGGTACTCCAGGAAGTTTTGGTGGAATAGCTCTGACTATCACTGAGATAGCAAAATCTTTCTCGGGACTTCTTCTTTCGAGTGGAACGAGAGCTGCCAAAAAAGTATTTACAAGAATTTTAAGAGAAAAAGAAGAATAGATGTTCAGGAAAAAAAAGGATTTCACCCATGAATAATAAATGTGATGGAATTTTTTCTTTCCATTAAGATTGTTCTGCCAGCTAACCCTAATCCCCAAACGAACCCGAGAGCTTTTTTCCAATATTACCGGTTGTCGCTCTATTCCTGCCAGTAATGTGTATCTATCGTCGTCACACAGGACACGTGTCGAAAGCCTTAACCGGAAAAAACATCCGTGGGAGTCGGACATAAAGGGGACAGAATTTCTGAAGACAAAGAAATTTTGGAGACCACTCACGTCAGACTGCGGGAATATTCCACACGGAGGGGAAAATAATTGATAACATCGAATCATTGCACTCAGAAAAGTGATTTACACTTTGTAATTTTCCGAAAATTTATGTGACTGGCGGTGAATAGGGGTTTGAACGGAAAATTTACAAACTTAGAAAACTTTTGGCAATTATATCGAAATTGTTTAATCACTGGCTGTTATCGTACATAAGATAGATAAGCCGAGGAGATGGGAGATTATGACGTAACTTCATTGTCAGGTGTTTAATTGCGAGATTGAGGGGGAGAAAATTTTAAGAAAGGGGTGTTATCGGATCAATTGAGAGTCAATGGAGATTTTTCGTATATAATACTCGCTGTGAATTGATGTTGCATGACAATAAGGTGGTTAATATCAGCACAATTATTGTAGAATTTCCATCTATTAATAATGTCATGTGACGAGGGAAAATAAGAGAAAATCACCCAACGAAAAAAATCGAATAAATAATATATATCTAATGTTCTCTATTTTTTCTCCACAACAATATTAATCTAGCTATAAAACGTGATGAATATTTTGGTATGATGATGGAATGAAGATGAAAATATCTGATGAAATATCTCAAGTCCGCGATCTGACAGAATAAAGTCAACAAAAAATATAAAGTCAACAATGCCGATAATTGTACGTGAATTTGTATATAACAATAAAAAATACTGGAGAAGATAAATGGTGAAAATAAATTTTCCAAATGAATAGTCATTACTCTTTCGATATCCCTTGTACATCCAATCCTTTCCGATGCAATTCTATTACCAACCACGTGACAAGTGGCCAATGGTGTGGAGAATTGCAGCTGCACCCAATGAAACTATATGAAATTCAAACTATCGCGTGTATTTCATGGAATGAAATCAGTAATGTATTGATTCAAAGTAAAGAATTTTTTTTACTGTAATTGAAGAAAGTGCTATTATATGAGTTCGTGGAAAAATTGGATTTTATCGTGTGTGAGAAGTGTTGAACCTCTGAAGGTATGTCTCTGACGCAATCTTCTTGTTACGAAGCATCCAATTGACGAGTGGCCTATGGTACGGAGAATTGTCACTGCACCAAGTGCAATGTAATGAAAAATACTGCAAGTGAATTGGCTCGTTTACATTGACTATGAGAGTTTATGGATGAATTCATAGGGGAAGTGGATAGTTTGCAAATGATTAGAGATCGTTTTCATTGGCTTTCAAGGTTCCTCAATAGTCGAATGGAATGGAAATTTCGTGGCGATATTTATTGGATTAATTACGGAACCTTCTCCATTTCATATCGATTTTATGATGAAATAGTCGATGATTAAAAATTTCAAAAAAATCACATGCTGTGGTTTGTCCAATTAATATTATTACATGAATTATTCAACGAGTAATTAATATGACTCGTGGTTGATTAAATTGATTTTGGAATATTCAAACAAATGTAGTCTTGAGCTGAAATTATTTCCGATATTCGTGTCATGTAGAATCAATTACCGAAACCACGAAATTGTGTTTGGAAGTTTCACTGAATGCTTCATTTATCCAAATTGATTTATAATTTATATAATTGGCTTTCGAATAGATACTGTTAATGATACCAATTACATCAACAATTTTGGCCTCAAAATCCTCATAATTAGAATGGTAGTAATAAATTATTAGATTAGTATGAATTAAATTGAGAATTAATTTTTTTCTCAATCTCTCAAATCCCTGAGTGGTTAAGCCTTTCTATCACGATGATTATTTTATTTTTTGTAATACTGATTGATGATATGTCCGATTTTTTATTTCATTTCGACACCTAGTTGATATAAAAATTAATTGCCACGTTTTTATCCCGATAAATATTGATACAATAAAATGCAATTGAATAAATTGTGAGATTTCAGTGACAGGACGAGTGAAATATTCAACTCAATGTGGTTTTCCGAATGTGCAGTTATTCTCAATTTTCAGGTCAGGTCAAATCAATTTCCAAAATTGGAAAATCGTCTGCCTTTTCATTGCGCGCATTGTGCGATGTTCAATCACCGGCAATAGCTATTAATTAACGATAGAAATTACTCGACAGTCTGTCTCTGAGGAATTTCGTTGATTCGGTTACCGTCAATATTGATCAGCAAAATTTGATTGAACATGAAAAAATTGAGTGAATTAACCTGACGACGACTTGATGATCCTGTGATTTTTTTTGAATTGCGTAGCAATTCCCTGAATGACTACAGTCAAATGTATTCACAAGGATATCAACGCTCCAGAGGCTCGAGAATACCGCAGAGCCTAGATTGTCGCAACCTGTGCAGGCTTTTGTTTGAAATTGGAATACCTCGACTGGTGATATCACCTCCAATGCACATTACCTACTGGAACCAACTCGTATCACTAGTTATTATCACTCACCCCATCTTCATTCTCGACTCCACCCCCTATCGCCCCCAGCTCATTTCCCCGTCGAACTACCCCGTGGTTTTGACACATAAATCAAATTGATTTGTGCGGGCACATGAAACTACAGCTGCACACCGGTATATAATTGTGGATTATCATCCTTCACAACATACGAATTAACACGTCATCTGAAACTAAACGATGAAAGCGTGGAAACATGATTCCAGCATTATTTTCCCTTTCAATTTGTACATTCAATTCAATTGAATTTCCAAAAATGTTGTGGCGAATTTCATCGAAATTTCAGTGCAAACAATTTCAGTGGATTGACCCAAAAAATGGAAAATGTTCCCACCACGCACGCAAATAGTCAGCGTTGAATGGCGCGGATGATACCTTAACCAGTCAATATTGACCCTGTCCCTTGCTGTGGAAGTGAATAAATATTTCCATCGAGCCAGATACCTCTATCATCCATAAATACCGAACTCCCTGGGAAAACCATCTGAATACATAATAGGTTTTATCGATGATAGGAAACTGCAGATATTCAGATTAAAACGCCCCATATATTCTCTCGATCGATCCATCGGCCACAATTAGCCCGGGCCGCATTTGCCAGCCACACGATTCAACTGCTCCACCTCATCGTTTTTTTTTTCATCTCATTAATCACTCTTCACTTTATTTAATTACCCCAAACTATCCATTCTTTATTTTCACAGGACAAACTGACAATCCACTTGAGAATTCAAAGAGAATTTCAATTCCGTCGACAAATCCAAAATTTGTAAAGCATTAGAGCCCACGGTTTTTTTTTTTTTGTTATTTTTATAAAGAAAATACGAAGGTATGATTGTAACGTTGTGCAAAACCCACATGAAAATCTAATTTCCCCGGATTTGTGGAGGGCCTTATTCACGATGGAAAAAGGCAGAATGAAAATGTATTCAAAGCGCGTATCCTTCAATTTAAAAAGGTTGTAACGTGAAATGCTTTCGCCTGGGCCACGACCCACCCGCCCGATTACGATGCTCAGTTTGTCGAGGACGGATTCCGACGTCGTCGGCTAGGAGGGAAAGTGTCTTCAGGGATAAGTAATATACGATATGCGCATCACGTACTGAGATCCAATGCTTCCGCGGTATATAACTCCCCACGAACTTGGTTGACGTTAGATTACCGACTTGATTTTCACTCGTGCCAAAACCCAGAGGGTCGACATCAATATTTCATCCTAAAGCGACCAGTTGTCATCATGCTGGTGAGTTTTCAAAAATTGAGAATACGAAATCCCCAACGAAATAATGATCAATCCAATCATAACTCCTGTCTCTCCTATAGTTAAAAAATCTCAGTGTTCTGCTAACCGTCAGTTTGGCGTGTGGATTAGTAACGTCAGAGGCTCCCGTCAACGGAATAAAATCCTCCAACTTCCTTGGTGGTGCTGAACAGCATGCGTCATTCAGCTTTATTCGTCCTGGATTAACCCAAACTTCTTATTCCTTCAATGGACCGAGCTCTCATCAGGCATTCAGTTCAAGCATCGGCAATCCTCATCTAGCCCAGAAGGTTCTTCCAAATGTTGCACAAGCCTTATCATACAAAAATCCAGGACTCGGTAATTCACACAAAGACAGATTAATCTGACTTAATGAAACCCATTACAGATGATTAACACCAAACACTCCCTCACTCGATATCTGGCACTCCCTTCTTCATTCCAGGCTACTTCTCAACATCACCCGTATCTTCCGCATACGCATCATCGCCCTACGTGCCAGCAATTCCTCAACCAGCTTCACCATCTTTATCTCATTCTCAGCCACAACTTGATGCCGCAACACTCGCGTACTATCAACCCCAACAATTTTCCCCGAATTCCCAAGTGCAAACTCAATCCGAGGGATATCAAGCCCAGCTGAATCAGCTGTTGGCTCTGCGCCAGGCGCAATTACTTCAGCTGCAGTCACAGGGTCAAGCCCCACTGCAAAGCCAGCAGGTGATTGTATTGCTTAAGAAATCGTAAAATCGACTGGCGCACCGCAAAATAATGCAGTAAACATTCCTATCGGAATCTGCGTATGGGAGCATAATTTAATGAGACGGGGATGTTTCATTAATGTTAATAAATAATGAAATTAGTAACTGTAAACGGTCTGCATCTCACCCCCGGGGTAATGGCCGTTTCCTCCGCAGAGAACAATCTCACTAATTGCATTTTTAATCACGGTAATTTATCTCAACTCCACAGATTCAGGAACAAAGTACATCGCACCGCTCAGGGACGCAGAATTTACTCGGAGTAGCGTATTCATCAGCTCCAGCCGTTGCACATGTTAAAGTCACTGGGAATGGATACAAATTTGATTTCTGATTGGAAATATTCATGAGGATGTTTCATAACAACGGGCTTATTATTTATTCAACAACACCGTGTATTTCAGATCAATAAAGTTCATTAATTTGTCAACGATATTTTTTTATAACACCTGGAACATGAGAGAGACTTGTGTAGAGAAATTATAGGCATTCAATCAACTGAATCGATGAGACACTTTCTTATGTTAATCCACTTCGATATGTAATACGAATAAGACACGTATGCCCCAATTGGCCGGACTATCGACGCTGGTATTTCGGAGAAAGTATGACCTTCATAGAATGCTCTATAATTGTCATAGGGGCCGGATAAAGATCTCGTATTAGACATGACTATGCATTTGTTCCGGTTTTCACTCGGGATTTAACGAATGGGAGCATTTCCGGGCGAGCGAAAATTGGAGAACGCACAAGTCTCGAGTAAAAATACTTCGACTTTCTGTCTTTCGCATTTACTCTACCGCAATTTTGTTATTTAACCCCATATTCTGCGGAGAGAACGAACCTTTCCAACAATTTATCCTTGTCGTTTGTTCTCAAAGTTCACAATGGTCGAGACACATCCATAAAACTATTCCTAGATCCATCACACTAATGAATTAATGGGTCTGAGGCGAGTCGCTCACAGTTGTCCCCGGACAATCAATCTGAAAATTTTGCGGTCCATGTCTCGGTTACGAGACAAACCTGCGAGCCACGCCTTGAGATGTCTTACAAAATTCGCCCCTTTCCCTTTTCAGAAAACAGTTGTCGCAATCCCCAAAAATCCATCTACGTGCGTATATATTTACTCTTTCTTTCCGCCTACCTAATTTATATCCCAGCCCCACCACTGTAGTTCGCTTGGTCCATTGTCGAGAGTGAGACACTTTTTTCCCCTTCTGTAGAAAAAAAAAAACACTGTACCAGCGAGACAAACGCGGCTATTCCCCCGTGTCCCAGCCATTCCCCAAATCTTGGTCCAGATATAAATAACGATTCAGATTTGTCGGTGTCACAGAACTCAACGAGCTGTCTTGATAAAGCACCATTCGGACATTCAAAAATGGCATTCAAAGTGAGTACAAAGCAATTGAACCAATTGAATTAATTCAAACTATTGAATCCTTTCAATTACCTCCCAGACACCAAAGAAATCTGAGTGATTAAAGCCATCATTACCACTTACTCCTCCCCAATTCGTCCTTCGTTCTCCCCTAATTCCAAGAATTCTCCTTTATTCGATAATCCTGTAAATCAAGGACATCCCAGAACACTAAATTATGATTGCCCGCAGTTCGTCGTTCTCGCAGCGTTAGTGGCAATCGCTAATGCTGATGGCCCAGCATCATACAACATTGAGACAGCCTCAGCTGACCACAAAAGCGTCGGCTACGCTCAGGAGTCGACGCACAAGGGTGCTGGAGGCAAAACTGGATCAACAAGATACAATAATGCCGTAAAATCTCCATACGCGTCTGTCCACGTTCTGAATGAACGTGTCAACCACGACAGCCGCTATTACGTACGGCCTGCTTACACCCATTATGAGCCTTCAGTGACCGTAAAGCCTCACTCTGCCCCAACTTATCAATATTACGCCAAGATTTCTCCAGTCAAGTCTCACTCAGCACCAACTCATCACAGTTCCTCTGAAGTTGCTCCAGTTCAGTTGCTCAAGGCTCATTCACTGCCAACTTATTCCACTTATCCCACTTACACCGAAGCTGCTCCTGTAAAGGCTTACTCTGCACCAGCTTACCAGAGTTATTCCGAAGCAGCTCCAGCCAAAGGTTACTCTGCACCAGCTTATCAGAGTTATTCCGAAGCAGCTCCAGTCAAAGGTTACTCTGCACCAGCTTATCAGAGTTATTCCGAAGCAGCTCCAGTCAAATCATACTCTACACCAGTTCCTCAGAGTTATTATGAAACTGCTCCGTCCAAGGGTTACTCTGCACCAGCATATCACAGTTATTCAGAAGCTGCTCCAACCAAGACTTATTCTTATCAGAATTATCCTGAAGCTGCTCCAGCCAAGGCTTACTCTTATCAGGCTTCGACCGAGGCTACTCCCATGACAGCTTATGCTTCTCCAGCTTATCACACTTATGCTGAGGCTTCGCCACTGAAGACTCATGCGGTTGCTTATCAGAGCTATGTGGCTCCCGTTGCCACGAAGGGCCATGAGGCAGCTTATCAGAGCTATGAAGCTCCAATTGTCGCAAAGGGCCATGAGGCCGCTTATCACAGCTATGAGGCTCCGGTCGCCACGAAGAGCTACGAGGCACCAGCTTATCAGAGTTACGCTGAGACTGCCCCAACAAAGGTCTACTCTCCATCTTCTTATCAGTACGCTGGACACGGAGTTTCCCATACCAGCTTCAAGGGTCATGGTACTCAGTACGCCTGGTAATTTTTTTTTAATTGAAGGGGTGTAAAACGCTTACTTTTGAATAACTCAATGGTGAGTTGAGTTCTGCGAGAAGTTTAATTAGAGTTGAAAATTGTATTATAGATTGCAAGATTAATTTAATGGAGTATCATACTGTTGACCTTTCTGTATTACTCTGGATGGAGAATTGATAAATAAAATTTGTTATCATTTAAGGACGAGGTTCATAAAGAATTTAATTTTATTATCAGTCATTGATTTTTTCTTCTGAATTTTGGTAAATAGTGACCGTCAGTTGAAGAAGATATGGATAGGACTACCATCAGATGATAAATGTAACAAATCCACTGTCTCTTATTATTTTCCGCCGGTGAAGAATTCCCGGCCTCGTACCCTGCCTTATCCACTGGTACGAAAATCGCTGTTTAACCTTTGCTATAAGCGCTGCTGATCACCTCTATAATCTCTGCTGTGTGCTTTCGAGTACACGTGTGATTACAACCGAAAGATCTTCTCGATTTTTCATTGTTAATATTAAAAAAATATTAAAATGACAAAAGTGCGAAAGGTGAAGCGCAGGAAGACCTACAAAGTCAGCATCAACAGGAAGAGATTGAGGAATAAATTGAGGAAAGTGCCTACTATAACTTGGTAAGTATAATATCAACCTTCAAATTGAGAATATGCAGGAGAACCTGAAAATTGAAATTTTGATAAATAGTCCTCAGATAAAGCAAGCCTGGGATACGAAAAAATCCACGAAGACAAATCTGCACCAGATGGGCCTAGCCTACGATCCTAATCAAATTCTAAAAGTGCCAAACGTAAAAAACGCCATGATAAAAAAAGCTAAACGTCAAGCGTCAGGTGAAATATCAGAATCAGAGGAGGAGCCTGTGAAGAAGAAAATTCCAAAAAAAGTGAAAGTCGCTCAGGAGCTGGAGGCTGAAGCCAGAGCTCCTCGACAGCGAATGTTCAGACTCCCCAAGGGTCAGGTTTTATTCCTGACGTATCTTATGGATAAATATGGCGAGGACTACGAGGCTATGGCTCGAGACAAGAAAAACCACTACCAGCTGACCTGGAGGCAGATTCGTCAGAAGATAAACACCTTCAAGAACATCCCTGAACAGTACAGCGAGTACCTCGTGCAAAGTGGGGAGATTGTCCTGGAGGATCCGACATCGTTGGCAGAGACGAAAAAAAAAATTGCTGAGGAGAATGTCCAGAAGTACTGCGTAAGCAAAAAGAAAAAAGAGAAAAAGAGTGTAATTGGACGGTGGATTGAGGAGACGATGAGGGACGAAGACACGTTTGAGACAGAGGACACGTTGCAGGATGAAGATGAAGAAGATGAGGGAAATAAAAAAAATCCTGGAGAAAAAAAATTGAAACTTTTCCCTGATGATGAGGAGAACGAGAACTTCAATGGGAAAAGGGTTCAGAAAAATGTGAGGAATGAGAAGAAGGAGAAGAAACGCGAGGATCTCCTCCAGAAATTGTCATCCAGTGACAGCGAGGACAGCGAGGAACTCGAGGGAGATGACCATGGAGACGGCTTTAGGAATTTAGATGACATGAGTGAGGAGGAACTCTCGGAGGACGACATTCTAGACGATGGAGAGTTCGTCACGGACGACAGTGAATAAATTAGTGGAAGCTGTCTTATATCACAAACTTGATTTTTTTTTATTATAAAACGAAAGTGTAAATAAGTATCAGTTTATATCTTTAGTAATCGAGAGAATATATGAATTATTCTTAATATCGTTTTTGATTGAGGGTTGAATACCTGTTCAGTACCCCTTCTACTAGAAAAAATAATAATTATTTATTGATTGAGAATGTTTACTTCTGCATTAATCAATCTCAGAAGGATTGATTGTTTTCTTTTTAATTCACAAGTTGATTCTGTTAGTTCTCGGTAAAGCCATTGATTAGTTTTTTTTTTTAAATTAGACACGAAGTTTATTAATTTTTTTGATTCTCTCAGATTAATTTTCGTCACACACTCGAGGGGACAGATTACATGAAACATCGAATTTTTCGTTTCTCGAACGAAATGGAATGCTGAGAGATTAATTTCCTCGATGAAAAATTCAAGATATTGTTGATAATGAAAATATTTTCTTTCTGACCGTTTCGATGGATGGGTGATACCAGTTGTATTCTGTGAGTCCAGGTTCCAGGTCTGGCAGTGGTCCTGTCTGACACCCGATGACTTCCACTCGATGCTGATGGGGAGAAATGCTGTAAAGGTCGAGGGCCTCTTTTATTTGGTTTGGCTTCATGGCGTGGGGATCGTCCTGACAAAGAAAAAAAATTATATCAATATGAAACACTCAACCATGATTACAAAATTGTAGTCCTCAAAGACTAATTAACGTCGGTCATTCACCTGTTTATTTGCCACGACTAGAATGGGGACATTGTCCATTCTCTGGTCCCCAAGTAATTGTTTGAGCATTTGCACTGCCTGAGACAATTTAACCGAGTCAGCAGCATCGACTAGGAAAACGAGCAGATCTGTGTCTTGTAGGAAATTGCTCCAGTATTTTCTAGGTTCATCCCCTCCACCAACTGCAAATTAAATAAATTGACTATTACATTTTTATCTTTATTTGTCAGTGAATCTTCTCCAGGTTTAGAAATTTCCACGAACATGAAATCGACTGGTAAGAAAAAAAGGAATATTCAATAAACTTCAACTCACTCTCCCAAACATTGAATACATAATCCCCCTTTCGGAGTTTGTAAACAGCAAATCCATCAGTGGGTTTGGGTGGCATCTGATAAAGATTGCCATGGCTGTCAGCAGCCACAGCCTGATTCATAACAGAAGTTTTGCCAGCTCCATCGAGTCCCAGGAGGAGGATTCGTCGCTCATGAGTATCATCGATCTACAAAAAAAATTACAGGTTATATCCAGGTTATCCCTTTCCCCGAAAAAAAATAAAGAATAAGTTAAAACCTTCGCCAGGTCCTCGAAGCCCTCGTCGATGGCCTTGAGCTCTCTTTTCTTCCAATAATAATAGGCAACGTAGGCCCCAACACAGGCACAGCCAGCCAGAATAATCGCTCTCTGTCCATTTCTCGAGATTCCACCGACCATTTTCCACATTCACATCAATCCAATAGATCCCAATATTCCGAGATATCCGATCACTTTCCTCTATCGTAATTAACTATTTATTTCCACCAATTTTGAACCGGGGAACGAAATATACGAGATGACATGTGATAATGTCATCGGGACGTGAAAACACCGCGAAGTCAAGGCGACCATGTGTAAATACGATGCGCAAGCGCCAAATTACGAGTTACCGGCCGTTTGGATTGAATTTCCCATCAACAATTCTAAATTCTCAAAAATAAATAATCTTCCGCCGGAAATCAACTCACGAAATTTTTCCACCAGCACTTACGATTTTTTTCAATTTGATATCGATTTATTTTGCTATCGATCTACCACGAAAAACATCGAAGGTCTTGTATCTGATTTAATTTCCGGTAAAAAAAATTCCTTGATGTTTTTTTCTAGCGACATTTTTTTTTTTTCAGTCAATCGATACTACTACTGAATTAATGTCCGAATTATTTTATGTTATTTTAATTAATTAATTAATTATTGATGGATAATTAACGGTTTTATTCCGAGTGAAATGAACGAAACAAGCCGATACCACGACCGAGTGAGAATACCGCCAAAACAACGTACTCGGGCGGCCATTCGCTGCAGTAACCCGTGCGCATGTCCAGTCCCTCTCCCTTCCTGCGCCGCTGCGCAGTCGTCTGTCGGTTTTAGTGACTGAAAATCCGTGAAAATAATCGTTTAACTCCATTAATTAATTCACCAATACATTAATTAATTTATTATAACTTATTATTTAGTTGTGGCGATGATTGCCAGTGGGTGATATGAGTTTTTTGTGATGTGTAGCCTAGTCGTGTACATCCCGCCAAAACCAGTGACGACGCGGCCATATTATTCAGTCCGTGCGCGCAGTCCTCTCCCGTCCTCTCCTGTTGCATTCGCATTTCTAGTTTGTTTTCGGTTGACCTTCTCAATAAATATAAATACGCGTATATAAAAGTCTTGCTCGGTTGATTAAATCATTATTCAATTAAGGAACGTGTAATCAATGGTTATTTTCATGTTATGAGTGTTCATTGTGCATGAATTCATTCGTGATTGTGTGTTGTGTTGAAAAAAAAATAGTCCATCCCGATGTATTGTCTTTATTCCTGTCTATTCCTGCTCCTGATGGTATGTACCTAAATATCCAATTTCCTCTGTCCATGCATGAAAAATAACACGACAGAAATTTTTCTATGAAATCATTACGCAGTCACCTTGAGACGATTAACCTCGTTTAATTAGATTGTTGATCCGAAATTGTAACATTATCATGTAACTTCCATCATTAGCTCTTTCAATTAATGATAGCATAGAGTTCCTCGCGGATTTGCTCTGATGATCCGCTGATAACAAAATTTGAAAACAAAGGATATCTCAGTAATTAAACTACCGAGTTGAATCGATAATGGACGAGTGAAAAGGGCTTGATCCGATTAAAATCATGCCTGGACATTCATCAGTAGTAATTCGAGATAAATCTCAAAGTGACAGTGTTGAGCGGATTAGAAGGGTTCATTGATTATAATCAACGTTTTCTCATGAAGATTTTATTCCGGAAATTAATAATTGAATTCGCCTATTTTTTCACACGTATGAAAGATTTCAGGAGATTCATGAATTAGTAAGAGAGATAAGTGTTCTGGCGTCACCAGAAATTCGAAAATTCACTGATCTTCTCCCAATGGGAAAAATTCATTTACCGATTTGACTTAATTAGATCGAATGCCGAGTCACTCGAAAAGTCGTAGCTTTAATCAAGCATCTGCGTGTAGCCCAGATCTCCCCTGGATTCTCCCCCTGTGTCACTCGGCCCATAATCCGTCTAATCTTCCCTAAATGAAATAGTTGCAATTCTTTCTACTCGATCCTCTCCCCACCTCCTGTAGATACAACACTTGACCCTACTCGAGGGGTTGCCTAAGCACCGGATGACATTTAAGGGGATGAATGATCATCGTTACATGCCCATAACACTCATAATCCCCCAACTCTGTTAACATATTCTCTCGGCTCCCTAGAGTGGAAAAAACGACTTTACAAAAAGGATTTACTTAACGCAAGAAAATTGCCTCTTGTTAATTTAAAAATCCGTGAAAAGCAGTTTTTTTTCCCTGAATGTGTCGTATCTCCCTGCATTTCTCTCTCAAAAAAATTGACACAAAAGCTCGATCGACATTTTTTCCACTGAGAATTGCGCTCAACTCTTCTTTTTATCAGAGCAATGCATTCCGGTATTTTTCGAGCTGGCAAAAATAAAATAAAAAACAAAACACGACGTTATTTGCCTTTGTGACTGGCTCTACCCGCGGTATATTCATCCTATCCTACAATATCCACTTCGCTTGCACGGAAAAATGGAAAATTTCCGAAGCCACCCACCCCTCATTTTTTTTTTATTTCCCTTGCGTCACGACCGAAATTGGATATCCGATAAAAATGGTATCGCGTATTCTGTTCTGCTCGGTGTTGTGCTCAACCCTGTCGCTCGACAATAACCGCCCTCCCATTCTCACCCCATTTTACCCCACACCATGTAGACTCGTGTCGCTTTTTGATTCCCGGGTGCTAGGGGCTCAAGGGGGTGGTGGCATCGGGTGGGAGGATGGGGGGCATAGAGCGGGATGACTTTTATTACCCCGTCTGATGTTATGAATGCGATGAACGCCGCTCTAGCTCCTTTTATGCAGGTTGCGACAACTACGGGTTACGGTTTTCATAGGGGGGCCACGAGGGGGTGGCGGGGGGTTGAAATGCATTTTTAGACATGCTGGAAGACTCGTGGGGATATTATTTCTTTAGGGCGTTGAGGCTTTGGGGGATTTTTTTTATTGAGATCTGGATTGATTCGAAATTATCGTGGGGAGTGGAGTTGATTTTTTTTTGTTTTGTCATTTTTTTCGGTTTTGAGCGGATTATTACTGTTCGGGGTGTGAATATATGCGTAGGCTACCCTTGACTAATGAAAAAAATTAAATTTTGGGAAAAAACCGTTGAGTTTTCACTCAGTCGTGCGTTTGGGGCCCGAGATAATCGATGAAAATTAATTATCACAGCGAATAAATGAATAGAATAATTGTTTATCACCACTCATCCCATCCAATTATCAGAGTTATGATACCGTAGATTTCTTCGGGCAGAAATTTTTATTAAAAAAATATTTCCATCTCTTCAATTGCGAGCTTTCCATCCACTTCGTTAGATACTACCCCACTTTGTTTATCATTCCTGGATATTAAAATTGCTACAATTGTGAGTGAAGAGTTTCCGCTCTGATATAAATGCTGCATACCGTATTGTACATTATCCATAAGCAAAATATATATATTTTCGAGTGGAGGAATAAAAGGGGGATAAATAAAACCAGAGAGAAGCGTTTCATTCGCTCCGCCCAATTCCACGATAACCGCGGTTATTCGATGCTAGCATAACACCGGCGAATGTATAGTCAAAATATGGGATGCTGGGGTGAATATGGAAGGGGTGAGAGGGTGAGAACAGGTAGACGGTATCACAAAGAGGACGAAAGAGGGATGTTGAAATTAAAATGGGCGTTAAGAACCGCAGGCGTAATTTAATACGTCCAGAAAAAATTTCCAAACTCGATTATTAAATCTCAATAATTTACCGTTTAAACAATATTCTCCCCCCATTCATACACTCACTCCCCAGAAGCAAATGGCGGCAAGTTTTTTTTATAGGCATTGAGCAATATTATAAATTACCAGAATTCGGAAATTGAAATTCAACTCGTCAATCGCTCTCAGTTTACCCTCTTCCTGCTGAAATATTTTATTTTTCCGTTGAGTTATAACTAAGAGTAGGGATATATTCACAATAACCGAGTGATTCTGCTGAGGGCTGTGCAATAATGCTGAGTAACTTTGTGGGCTATGATCAAAGGGCATTCCACACTCCAAAATATGTTGTGTACCCTGGGCATCGGTATAACCACTTTTGCAGACGCATTCATATCAACAAAAGGATATTTCCAAAACGAGGAATGCCGGGGGGGAGTAATAATGTTCCTTCTCCGCGTGGTTTCTTCTATTTTTGCCACTTTATGCTCGTGTTATGACAAGTGGTGCCCATTGGTCACCGGTATTACCCTAACATTGTGGTATTCCGGATGACACTATTGGACACGGTTTTACAGGCTGGTAGATGGGCACCTGCCAGCTGCAGCATCCTGAACACTTGCATGCCCCACGAACACTAATCGTGACAGTGCGTCCATAACATTCGCCTCGTTGGGGATGATACACGTGGGTTGGGGTGCTCAATAGCCTTGTCATCTCATTCAAAAAGTAAGAATGTGATCGCTAGGGTCGAGGGCATACACCGAAAAAATCGCCGTATTCAATCAAATTTCCCCATCAAATGTCAACAAAAATATTGTTGCGTGTTGTGTATGTCCTCCCCCCGTAATTAATCTCTCTATATAAACGCCGAGAATTTTTCTATCATCCGCGATGTATAAATCAATTGCACATTTTTCGTCGAAACTTCAATAGTTCGGTCCAAACATTTGATAAAATCCTTTTACAACACGAAAAGAAGTGTTCTTCATCGAGACCCGAACAGAATTGTTCTCACACGCAAAAAAAAATGAGTCTCCAATCTCTTTGCTCTTATTTTTGATAAAAAAAAGGGTCTGCAGGCAACTCTGAAAAACGACGGAAGAGTGCCCGCACCCAGAATTGAACATTGGATAGAGGGGAATAAGGTGAAACGAAAAGGGGTTCGCCGAGGGGATGGGGGAGGCTTCGAGAAAGTAGGAAGGGATGATACCCCACAAAGGCAGTGGGGCTCTTTTGATTCGCGAGCTAATTGGAATGCCGCGGATGCCAACGACGATGCTCAACGAGAGGGGAGAGGTTGAGATAACCGATCCTGAAGTCCTGGTGTTTGGCTCTCCCTTCCTTCTCACTTTTCATCCCCTTCCTTACTTGATACGAGGGTAGACTGGGGGCGGAGTCAGTTGCAACGGGGTGTGTAGCTCTGGCTGGATATGAGTTTGCTTGTTATCCGCGTCCACTGGATGGTTCACTTCGATTAATCTTGACTTTTTCATTTATTCGTCTTTTGATCTGATGGAACAGGAGGGAAGTCCATGATTTTTGTCTGTCTTTTTTTTTTGTACACCAGGAAATTTATTCCCTTGATTCTTTATTTTATACATACGAATATGGTCGAGGACTATTCACACAGGATTTCGTACGAGTGTCTACTTTAGGTGTTAACGATTTTGGTACAAGGGATTATTTAAATTGTTTCTTCTGGGGAGCTAGAATTTTTTCATCTGGAATATTTACAGGGTCGCTGACAATTTTCGTGAGGAAACAGAATCACATTTACAAAAATATTTCAGAAGAGAAGAGAGTGACAAGTTGGATTCCAGGATTGGAAGAACGAGTTGCCCCTTCGCTGTTGATTCCATTACGAAACGAAAATATTTTTGAGTTTTTTTGCTGAATGCTTGGCAGTTTTACTCTCTGATATCATCGATTTATTCGTCATAGTAGTTGATTTTCGAGGGCGAATGGCTGATCATCTTCCTTGATTCTCGATGCCTCGAGATGTTTGCGGATTTCCTTGGCTTCGGACAAGGCCGCATGTCGTCATTGGGGTCTTGAAACTTCGGCGGTTTGTCTGAAACCCAAAAACCAATGATTATTTGAATTCTCCTCCTCTCTCATTCGACTCCTCTCATTTACCTTGAAAGTCCCTCGCGAATTCCGGGTAATCATACGTGGCACGTCCCCTCGACGCAGTCTTCATCGAGGTCTCAAGCTTCTTACGGCACTCGCTGCACTTGTAAATCTCCGGATGTTTCCGTTGCTCAGGAGGCTCCTCCATAGGCTTGCACCTCGATTTTCCCCGGTTTGACCGTTCGTACTTGAGAGTTCGAGGTTCGTCAATTTCTCGTGAGGGCCGGGGATTCCTTCGCTTCAACCACTCCAGGTACTGTTGCTTCAGGTCGTCAGCTTCCGTGGACTTCGGCGGGAATCTTCTGTACTCCTTCACTTGGTCCGGGCCATCAGCTCCATACTGATCGGACTCGTAGTCAATCTCGTCGTCTGCTTCATCATCCTCGAAGGGTTTTCCCTTCGACTCGTAAATGTATTCTTCAAAAAAAATCGGATGAACGTGTGTCCCAATTCATATAGTATTTTAATATTTATTGGAATTGCTCATCATATTTACCAGAGTCAGAGACCTCCTCCTCTTCATCCTCGTCAGCAATGAGACTCAATGGCCCCTGTGTCATCCTGTGTCGTCTGGTATCCTTTCTGGCTACCAAATTATCGACCGATGTTTCCGGACGAGTGCCACTCGAATTGTGAATCAACCTGTACAAATCGTCATTGCTCATTGCTTGTGAATACATACTCGCTGATTTTCCCATTAAAGCCTGTTTACGGGGCTTATAATCATCAGCCGGTGTGTACGCAGGAATTTGATCGGCCATTGTGGTGGAATAATGTCTGTAATAGAGAGGTTATTCAGCTACAATTGTCCAAATCATTACATCAACGCAAAATACGTTATTTAATAATCGTGTGGGTTATTAAAACTGAACTGACTTTTCCATTCGGTTGTAGTTCAGCATTTCCTGTCGCATTCGAGGTTTCCTGCGCACAGAAGACTCCACCGGACGATCATTCGACTCGAATTTCAGAGTCGAACCTGTCACCTTGCGATTGTATTTTCCCTTAGAGCCCTCCACAGGATTCATTCTCCTAAAATCCTGCTCTCTCCCCAAATCAGAAACAAAGATGATGATACAGTTATCTCAATGCTGCACCCAACGATATCAATCCAGTATCAGTTCAATCGTCAACGAAACCCAACACTCAAGTTCACCACAAAATACAGTATCACTGTTCAGTAACTCGTCAGATTGCATGGAGATGTGAAAATGAAATAAAATATCGCTGTTTGATTTACAATTTCACCATTCACCAGCACTTGGCTCTTTACAGTCGTCCTCTTCCAGGGAAGTTAAGGCCCGTTGTCTGAGCTCGTTGACTCTCTGGCTCTGCTGCTCGTGATGCACTTTACGCCACTTTATCCTACGATTTTGAAACCACACTTTCACCTGGGCCTCGGTGAGTCTCAGGGAGTGGGCGAGGTAGAGCCGTTCTGGTCCAACCATATACTGGGTCCTGGCAAATTCACCCTCAAGTCGTTCCAACTGCTCGGCCGTGAATATTGTTCTGACTCGTTTGGCTTTGCCAGGTACAACGCTTCCTGGATCACTCACTCGTGAGCACGAGGTTGTTGGTGTTTTCGTGGTGATGTCCTGACCTGCAAGTTATCGCGATTCTGGTTATGGGAGGGCCATTTATTCACGATTTCGTATTTTTTTTCGGCTAGAGATTTCTCATAGTGTGGGGTATGAAGGATGAGGCTAGAATAAATGACGATCAGAGACGGAAACAGATGACGAGGGAATTCGAAGTTGAGATAATTTCAATGTTTGAACTTACATTCCTGTCGTGCCGCTTTGCGATACTGCTGTTGCTGGTTCCTCTGGTGCTTGTCCCTCTGATTGCCCTTCCCCAGTATCGCATCGATAGTGAATGAAGTGGTTTGCGGCTGCTGCTGATGTTGCTGATGAGAATGCTGGACGGCGTCGAGGGACTGGCGATGTGCCATGCTCTGGGTTGAGAGATCCATCTGCCCCAGCAGGTGTGATCTCCGCATGCCCTCGATAGCCGATTCCATGGTTTGAGGACTTCTCGCTTGCATGGACACACCTCGATATTCCTGGGACTCCAGAATACGAGGATTTCCTAGAAGAGCAACGCTCGGTAGTCTGTCAATTCCTAAAGATGCTACATGACTGTCTCTCGAGTGCTCCAACGGCAGATGAAATTCCTTCATGAGATTGTAGTTCTTCGAGAAGCTGTAGTCCTTGAATTCTCGTTCCACGACATAATTTATGTCTTTACCACTTCTCTCGAGAGTATTCTGAAAATACTTTTGTCTCTTGCTCTTCACCAGGTTGTACACATTGTCCTTAGCGATGCCGTCCTTGGATCTGTTCGAGTGAATAGTCTCCAAAGAAGTGTCCGATTCGTTGGACTTCTCCAGCTGATAACTGGAAATAGTATCCGTGATAAAATTGATATCCTTGGATTTTTTTAAAGGAACCGCGATATCGCGCCCGGCAAAATCCTCAAAGCGGAGGGTTGGATGTCGGCCAACGTCAGCGGACATTCGAATCTCCTTGGATTTAACCAGCGAGTCGTCCTTGTGCCTTCCGACGGATAGATTGAGCCCAGTTAGGCCCTTGGAGGATTCAAAATCCTGATAAATTCTCTGAGATTCGAAATGGCTGCTCTCGCTGCGATCCGACGAGTCATCCGCGAACGCATGACCCGATGGGTCACACGTTTCCATCATTTTTACTCCGATTTCACTCGATCAATCGAAATTCACTGTCACTGCTCCCAAGATTCTGATGAACCCTTCACTCTTGAACCCGAGAAATTAACGAAATCACATGTTTCAACTGATTCCACGAGACACTGGATAATGATGTTGACTCGTTGCTATCACCGCTCAGCACTGAGGATCACCCGCTAATGATCCTGTACGTGACAAGGGGCTATTTACCCTTGGCATCCCCCAATCACTCCACCGCGTTCACCTCCACAACCCCCAAATGGACCGCATGATCGTGCGGTCAATATTTTTTCAGCTCCATCGCGAATCTACACCGTCGATTCCCATTGGCCAGTTAGACGCCATCTACGGCAGCTCCAGGCCACGCCCTCAGGTTTTCATTCGAGGTGGGGTGACTCCGGGTATCTTCCTCGGAGTCTGTTACATCGCAATTTTTTTTTTTAATACTTTTTTACACTTGCTTTGTGAAAACTACTCCTTCGCTAGTTCCGGGACTAAAGAAGAACGTTCTCATTAATAAGGTATTCCTGGGGGAATTATCCACGATTGCTTGAGACTAGTAGATGTCTGAGATACTTGGAATGTTAATTAGGTGTTGCCGGATGTGGCGAGGTAATTCGGGTGACTGTTTACATGTTATTTTGGGGGTGAGTGAAAATTTAGGGGATGTGAAACCGACTGGATAAAATTTTTCGATGAAATTATTTTTCTTGGAGATTATTATTACAAAAGTTTTTACTGAATTATTCAGATAAAAATGCTTTATCCGACGTGGGGAGAAAAAATGGAATAGGTTCTGGGAATTTTTTTCTATTTAAAATGAAAATTTTGAATTTTCATTTAATTGACAATTCTCCGCAATTTGATACTGTCTCTTCGGCTTTGACTCTCATTACCCACCATAAACCCGGAGATTCACCACAACCACCCGGCCACATCTCCCAATCCAAAACTTCATCTCACAATCCCCTCATTAGACGTTGACGGGACGTGCGGGAATTTCAGTAAAACCTCTAAGGAGCTTGCAACCCCGGAGGCTCAAGCTTAATTACTCTACCCGCGTGTCTATGAAAAACATAAGACTCTGCATGCCTTGTCGCGGAAAAAAGGTGATGATAAGATGCTGGGATTTTGGTGGATTTAATTAACTCAGGGCAAGTCGCAATTGAATTCACCGCGGGATCAATAAAAGTTTGTCGTATAAATTTAAGCGAACATACGTAAAAAATTGAACATCTTCTCCTCCGGAAAGAGGAAGAAAGTTATCTCGGGTTACCCATTATTAAGTCGAGATTAAGCCATAAATTTGAAAATTTACTTTGAATAAAATGCTCGGGCCTTGTATTATCCGCGTGAGCAATATTTTACCGTATATTTTGAGGAACCTGACAAAGAGCCGAGGGGTTCTCAAGTTTTTGAAAGCTCCAGGGAGTTCTCTTATTTATTAACGCTAATATGTCTCGAAACTTTCAAAGTTTATATTAAAATTTAGTCTTGATGTCTGGAAAAAATATAATAACTCTAATAAAGAAGTATAAGAGTGAAGAATAAATTCTCGAATAAATTCTCGAATAAATTCTAGAATAAATTTTCGAATAAATTCTCGAATAAATTTCAACGATCAACGAGAAATTTTGTTGCAATTTTACAAGGGATACATTAAGGAATAGAACGAGAGTCTCGTAATGTTTTAAAATTACGCAAATAAGAACCAGAGGGGCTGGAGTGGGCGACGAATGTTTGAATTGAATGGATAAAGGGGGTGGGATGTGAGGGACCTCGTGAAGACGGTGGAAAGAATTTCTATTGAAGCTCGATACCCGCCCAAATGACTTGGGTAGTCACCCTTATTACGCTGGAGAAATTTATGACAAAGAATTTCGTCGAGTATTTTATCCGGATAATTGCAGACGCTTTATAAGATGTGTCCTCGAGTTTTTTTGGACAACAGTCACTTCAACAGCTTAAACTTCATTATTCGAATAATTTCCACACAGGAAAAATGAATGAATTCTTTTTGCAATTTATTATTCTATTTCTCTTGATTTTATTACATCGTATGGTAATTTTTCAAATGAATTTAATTTATATTTGCTGTTTCAATAGAAATTACCAACGATTTGCTCTCGACAAATTAATCAATTAGTTCGGAGGTCGTTGCCCGTAATTGCATTGTAATGCCACATGTTTACATGAGATGTCCACGAATTGCCATGAACATGTAGTCTCGCGTCTTGACTCCTTCCTTGGATTTAATTCCACATGCGATATTAAAGCAACCCGGAGCAATTAGCTAGGATCGGAGAAGAGGGGTACCAGCTCCACGGACTAGCATTCCACCAAAAGCTCGATGGTGGGAGCTTCTGCTGGAATATGATTGGCTGTCAGGGGATTAATCCCTGGAAAGCTGTCGGCCACACCCCTCAACGTTACGGCAAATATCTCAATTCAATCCCCTCTCCATACCTGGAGCTTTGGAATTCAACGATAGGTACACGTTCATTGCTTTGCTATGGTGGTTGTGTCCTTGCTTAAACGCCATTACGTCATGTTATTAGGTAATTCTAAGGGAAGAATTCAGTTCTTGTCGTTTAACCCTAAATGATCATCTTAATTAGTAACAACTTGGTTGTTGGGGGATGAGCGGTTTTCAAGTTTAATTCTTGATAAGAAGGACCATTTATAAGGTTTAAGTCAGGATAGCGAAGGATTATTATTTTTTTAAATATCATCACACAATGATTGCTCTTTTCCGATTATTTCACATGATTTCAGAATTGATTTCATATGATTTCTGTTCAGAGTCACACGATGATTTCACCGATGAATACCCCGTCGCAGTGAAAATCTCTGAATAATTAAGTCAATTTACAATTTTTAAGGCATGTCACCTTTTAATTCCTCGAAAATCTCTTTTAACGCATTTCTTTTTTACGTTTTGGAATTTTTTGAAAATTCCGTGGAAATTTTATTCGGTAAAAATTTCCAAAATCTTTGGTACATGATTGAATGACGAGAAAAACTCTCGTCCAAAAATCTGTAATCGTTTTTTCTGAATTTTGGGATTCCGAAAAAATCCTAAAAAATCATCAGTCGATTCAGATACCACCGGCACCATCGTCCGGATGCCCCAGCAGTTGTCGATAAAAAAAATACTTATTTTATCGACAACTTTCAATCCTCCACGGCTAGATGGAATTCCCCGCGATGTCGTCCCGGATCAGATGTTTTCTGGCCGGTGCTTCATCATTTCCAGAGACACGTTTTGTCTGTGGAAATATAATACTCAATCATAAACTGCTGACACTCGTGGTTGATTAAAAAAATAGTGAACAGTGTCTCCTCAGTAAGTGAGAATTCGATTTCCCGAAAAACTCCAGAAGACCTTGAAGATCGTGGAGATTATCCGCTGCATCGACGTTGACATCAGTTCCTAGAACGATGACAACATCTCTTTAACAAGAATCTGATAACGCTTCGAGGAAAGAATTGACCGTTGGAAAAAATTCAGGAAAACCGCAAAAATGTCTCTGAAAGTATCACTACCTGTATTTCTTTTAATATCACTGTCCTCTGAAAGTCTCGGGGGACCAACTACTCCCAAGGTACCCTCGATCCTGGAAATCATTCGCGCAGAGGTGAATAACAACAGTTCTAACCATCTCTGCTTAACCCCAGAGGAAATCATCAACTCGAAGTACCTGGAGGAATGTGAGAAATTCCCTTTTCCCCAAAAGGACGCGAAATTAGAATCGAATTACGATGCCTTCCTGTGCCTTGCCTTCTTCGACAGGGCGTTCCACATTTGTCACGCTGCAGCCCGACGTCTGGAGATTCCAGTGCTAATGAATAAATCGCATTTCGATAATATTATCAGCGAAAAAATTGAGAAGAAAATCGATCCATTGGAATTATGCATGATCCTCGAGAATATCCAGCCAATATTCCTGGAGAAAACAAGATCCTTCGTCCAGGTCCTGACGACAGAGCTGAAGGATCCCGTGGGCTGCACAAAGATTTGTTCGAAAGGTGCAAAGAAAATAAATCCTCTCTGTCTGGTGATTCAGGTTATCGATCAGCAAATTCAGGCGGCGGATGCTGCGAAGAAAATTAAAGATAAGGAGGCGGAAAAAGAGAAGGTGAAAGTGAAGGCAGTGGTGAAGCCTGATGCAGCACCTCCTTCTACCAATGCTGCACCTGAAATTTCCCAAGCTGTGGCTGTGGCCTCTGATGTTCAGGGAAATTCTCAGGCTGGCAAATCAGGGCAGACCACCAGCACTGGCAAGGTCCCTCCTGAGGAGAATCCTCAGAAGCCAGTGGTTCCAAAAAATTCCCAGAAAGAGGAAGTGACCAAGGGGAAACCTGCCCCTTCCACTGAGAAGAATAAGACGAAAGAGAGTAACAAACCTGGGGATGACGATTCTGCGACCCAGGCCCTGCCTCCCCCTGTCGCTGCTCCCAAGGACAAAGAGCCAATGAAAAATAATGAAAAAGTTCAGGGCAGTTCTCCAGGACAGGGGCAGGTGGAAAAATCCACTCTGTCCGCGAATACTGGAGGGGAAGAGGAGATTCAGTTCGGCGAGGCTGAAGTATCTGATGAAGGTAATTAAAAATTAATTTTAATAAACAAAAAAAAATGGATGATTGTGACTTCTTTTAAAAATTAAATGAATTACTATTTTTTGGAATTATTCATAGCTGGAATGGGACTGGCACCGGCTGCGATGGATTATAAAGGTGATAGTAGATTTTATTAGTTGATGGTGTCATGTGGATGTGGGGTATGGGGTTAATAATTTAATTTTAATATCGTAGAGGATGGTGAACAGATATCTCCCCCTCGGAGCCCTGGAACTGGTCAAGACACTGCGTCAGGGAATTTTAAACAGCCTGAAAATATTCCTAAGCTCAGCGTAACAACTGATGACGATTCGCATTTCTTCGGGTATTTCACGCTGTTCGGGCTCTTTGGATTCGGTTTATTTGCGGCTTACCACCACAAGCACAAGATTTTTGCGATGCTCCTGGAGGGCAGGAGGTCCAGAGGGGGACGTGGCAGGAGGAGACCAAGTACAGCTAACTACAGAAAACTAGACTGCACATTGGAAGAGGCTGTCACTTCCCAGTGCAGTTCGAACGTCACTCACGTTATTTATTGAAGTTTTTTTTAAGAAGAAATTGATCTGGGATTCAAGAGTTCAATGTCATTGTTATTCTGTCAATTTGTCTCGATGACAATTTTTTTTTTTACAGTTCAGTAGATTATGTTCAGGGAAATTCACCCAACGACGTACGATTTGAACGAGATGAATTCTAGTACTGGAGTGATGAAGTTCTCAATTTAAAATCAATGCCTTGAAATCCAATTCGATTTCAAAATTTTATCTCTCCACTACTTATTGAGCTGTTTTAATAGTATTAACAATGAGGTTCGCGACTCTAAGCAGAACATAAATAATTGTTCACGATTCTGCAGGACGAGACCGAAGACATCTAGTGTAAATACGTCTAGGGTAATAGTTATCAGAAATCCGTCAAATCGTTTCAAATTCATTAAGCGTTAGAATAGTATCAGTGGAAATATTGCATAATAAGGCATTGTAAACACGAAAAATTCGTTGACGATTTCTACTCAGTCATTTTTTCTATAACCAGAAAAAAAAAAGAATTCCCCATTCCGGCGAATCAACTATCAGTAGTAATTAACTGAGTATTAATCGGCAGAACAAACATAATGTATAAATGGTTTCGTAATTTTTACGCTAATAAAAGTTAAGAGGAAGTTTATTTTTCCTAATCGAATGACTGGACTTTCCAATTGAATTTTGCGTTCTGGTTATCTGGATGTGCGTTGATTGAATTGAAGATTTATTGCCTCCACGATCAGTTCTTGATGAACCGGTTAATTAAAAACATGAATTATGATTGAATAATGGACACGGTTCAACGAAATAAATTATTCCTCTCAAGATGCAAGTTACGTCATTCCACCAATCAGCTATCGATACAGTAAATGGCGTCCCTTGTATTCCACTTGATCCAATCGAGATAATCCATGAGCCTGACATAGACCCCTGGCAATTCAGGAAGTGCACAGCCGATTCCCCAGGACACGATTCCTATGGTCTCAAATTTAGAGTTGTTTCTTTGGAACAAAAGAGGACCACCACTATCGCCCTAAAAAAATTATTCTTGATTAGGAACGTGACGGAATTTTTTCGAAGATTAATCAAATATTTTTTTTATTCCATCATGCGTGATGAATCGAGAATCTTTATTACTACTTTACTACCTGACAGGCATCTTCGCCGTCGTTGTAAGCACACGTCATCGATCTGGTGATATAATTCCCGAGGGAGGTATTCTTGCATTGGGCGTAGGACATTACTTTGAGGGTAGCCTCCTGAAGGACTGAAGAAGCCTCTCCTCCGGATTTTACACGACCCCAACCAGCGACTTTAACGTCCTGGCCGGTGTATTCAGACCCTAATGAATTAAATATGAAATGGAAAATAGAATATTCTGGATTACTGTTGACCATTGACAATACGGGGGCTTTATTCAATTTTCGAGGGTCAGGTTATCAATGGCAATATTCCATGAAAGCTATGCAAACGTTTCGAGAAATATCCGAATAATTTCTGCTTTACGAAAAAAAAAATCTATAGCGAAATTGAACCACTGGATTTTTCCAAATTCTTGGCGTAAATCAAGTGATACATTTGTGATTGAGAATAGAAGACAGGACGTCCGATAAAAAATTATCTCTACCTTTCGCTGGAAGACAAATCGGCTGGATAGTCTCGGTGAATTTCACGGGATTTTTCAATTCTAACAGCGCAATATCATCGGTATCGTGTAGATCATCGCTATAGAAATTATTGTGAAGGATCACTCTAGAGATTTGAACAATCTGTCCGATTTTTCGTTGGTGAAGGTTGTGCATGCCAATGCCGACCGTCAAGTCCTCGGAATTGGGAATCCTAGGCGAATCAATTCGTTAGAATCTGTCCGATTCAGTTTATCTTTTTTTGAGATCGAAAATGTGGAAGGAAGAAATATTTTTCCATTTGTCCATCGAGATTTTACCATTTGACACAGTGGCCCGCAGTCAGGATGTAGCGATTATTGATCAGAGCACCTCCGCAGTGTAGCCTCCTCAAGTGAAAAATCGCCACCACCCATGGGAGTGAGTGAGGAGTTACCTCTGTACCTCCGACTATTCGGATGGATATATCCTCCGCGAATGTTCCACACTCTGCGGATCAATGAAATCGTCTGTCAGATTGTGCGAATATTTTTACAACTGCAATGAGTAAAAAAATGAGAGTAAGATCCATTTGTACCACAATCAGGATCAACTCGGGGGTAACTCCACCGTTTGCCGAGTCCCTCCTGCAATAAATTCCCCACATTTGAAGGATTGAACAGAAAATAATTCGGAAGTCCAAGTATCTTTTTAATTCAATTACGAAGCGGTAAAAAAGAACTAGAACTTAAATTAGTTTAAAAAGGGGCTTGGATTTCCTTAAATCTCCTGCGACTAAACACTGGACTAACGTCCACGACGAGGAGCCCCATGATGAAGAAAATCGATGGTTTCATGATGATTGATCCACGTTCAACCGAATTTTTACACTGAACACATTTCGCAGGTGCTCTGAATTGATATCACTCTCTTGCTTTTGTTCTCAATTTTCTCGGACCTCCAGAGACTTATGTTATATTTATCGCCTTGACGTTTTAACGATCCTGAGCAACTATTCCGATTAAAGCAGAACTCGATAAACTTGGATATTATAATTTGTTTATTCCTCCCACTTCTCTCATAATCCCTTTCCATTAATGCGTTACAATATAAAATATTGAGCACACTCGATCAATGAATATGCCTGAGGGTCACGATCCCTTATAATTGTCAGCTCAATAGTCATGAATTAGTCAGTAATAAGTAATAAGGGTTAATGAGCTTAATAACAATAATTGCTTCCGGGGATAATTACATCACCTGTTCCTGGTTTTCGCGAAGTAAAACCCCTCCGGTTGTAGGAAATACGAACGGCAATAATGACTAATCACATTTCCAGGCAGGAATTCACGGGTTTCAATAATTTATAGGGACATCTGTATGCCGAGAAGATACAGTTATATAAAATTTTCTTTCACTCGTATACCCTTTCGGGTTTTTACGATTTGTTCCCTTCCCACCCCCCAACCCCCTGTACCGCATTTGCCGAAAGGGAGGGAAAACCTCATCTGAGGGAAAAACCTGCCCTGGTACAGTCGTCCTTTTGACAGGACTACCGCTCGGCAGTGGAACCGTGAGATCAGAGCGCTATATATTTTTGACCGCCGGTGCCCGGGATCGAACCCGGATCCTTGGCATGCTAGTCCAGCACTCTAACCGCACGGCCACTACCGTCGGTAGATACAGTTATATATTTTATTGAGAGTGTCAGGCGGACATTTACTCCTTGATATCTCCCAGGACCTAGAGAGTGTTTAAGTATTTCCTCTTCTCCCCCGAAATGTCTTTCTCTCCACCTTCATACGATCCCATGTGGCCCTGAAGTCTCGTAAACCCAGGGACTGGGCATTCATCCATTAGATGAGGGTTGTTGGAGAATTCGGGATACTTTTGGGATTTTTATCCTGGGGGAAACAAGTTGGAAAAATTGTTGGATTCTAACGCCAGCAGTACATCGAGTCACGTGTCGTGATTTTCATTATCCAGGATACCATTCTGGGGACATCTGTGTAGTGACCGGGATCGCCGGTACCGCAACCGATCCCTGAGGAAACAATTCCTGGAGAGAAGAGTAAATTATCAATATTTTTATTGTTCCGGTGTGTTTGAATGAAAATACTCGGGTACCTAATAATTCATATTTATTTTGGCTATTAATAATCTGAAGAGGTCCTCCACTGTCTCCAGAACAGGTGTCCTTTCCATTTCCATAAATCCCCGCGCAAATGAGAGTATCAGTCTTCACCAGGCAGTCCTCAGGCTTGAAAATTTCTAATATCACCTCACGTGGGGCACAGACTTCCTCGCCAATATCGGCCAGACCCCACCCCAAGGCCGTGACATTTTTCCCACTGTACCTCTTCCTGGTCTTGACGAAAGCCTCGAAAGAGGGCAGACAAATGGGCCTAATGAACTCATTGAACGTCACCCTCATGTTCAATCTAATGAGCATCACATCTGCGTGATGATTGATATCATTGAACTCCGGGTGTTTAATCATCCTCTCGATCGAGAATATTACAGTGCTGGCGTCGGAGCGACAGAGGTCGTGCTCGCCGACAACGACTTTCAGCTCGTTAATCCTGAAACTGAACTTTAACATCTGCACACGGTGAAAATTATTTTAAATATTAAAAAATTTAACAGAGACCGAGCAGTCACTAAATAAATTCGTATCTATCGTGTGGAAATTCGTTTACCCGGGACGATGCACATGTGCAGCGGTCACGACGTAACGATCGTTTATCAGCGAACCACCGGACAATAGCGAGCCATTGTGTGTTATCATCGTCATCCAGGGATACTCATTCTGAGTGACGACGTGTCCACCCACGATGCGGATATCCCCGACGAGGGGTGGATTTTTTTTCCCACAAACTGTGAGAGAAAAATCTCGTAATTAAGTTGTTTCGGGGATTAATCAAGCCACCCTGCTCGAATCGTTTAAGGGGCCACTTATGGGGATTTACAAAGCTGATGGGTATCATTTCATCTTCATCCACCCCATAAGACCCTCTCACTTTCCTTTCTCTTCAACTTCTTTCTTAATTCTCACTCTACAACTAACCGCAGTGTTCATATGCTGCCGATCCATAAGACACGTCGTACTGCCGTCCTATCGCATCCTCGAGCCCATTAGCAATTTTAATAATTAAAAGTTGAATGACAATAGACAATATCATGATATCTAATATAACGGGACTTTCCACTAGTCTCTCTTGATTCTAGAAATCCCTCTCTTGGCCCTAGGCACTCAGACACCGAACTAAATCCATTTCTAACAAACTCTGTTTTACAATAAATGCGTTCCCATCGCTTATCATACAGCGAGTATTTTAAAACATCCGGCCTATTGTGTATTGTCACCTAGGCAATAATTATTTCGTTGACAACTCTCATTTAATGGTGCACTAAAAATTTATTTTCCGCTTTGAGTGGTTGACAGCCATAAATAACAATACAAATAGTAATAAAATCGATCAACAAATGGATTTTATTACGACTGATCACTTGGTGCAATAGCAGGCGTCTTTGGTCATCTGTAGAATCCAGTCGAGATGAGGGCCGATTCGGGTGTAAATACCGGCGTGTGTTGACTCGTCGTCACAGACATTTTTATCCGAGAGGATGCCTGCGGAAACAAAGTCACCATTAAATGAAAAAAAAAAAAGATTAGAAAATATTTACCAATGAGATCGTAAATGCCTGCGTAACTCCGATACATGACAGCTGTTCCAACGTCATCCTGAAAATTCAAATGATCGATTAAAAGACTTGTGGATTTTTATTTGAATGGGAATCCTTGGAGGATAATACTTGACACAAGATGGATTTTCCCCCGATGACGCCGATGCAACCGGAGTCATCCTGGTAGTCACCAGGTTGAACCCCCGACTTCAGGCACTCACTAGCCCCCAGGACAGGAAGTCCCAGCTTTCTTGGGAGGCAAGACTTGCTGCTCTGTTCAGCTCTGGTCCACCCCAGGAGTGTGCCCACCTGTCCCAGATACGTCGACCCAGGATTCGGCAGGCAGACTGGTGACACCCTCTTCTCGAATTTAATTGGACGACTCAGTCGAATCAAAGCGAGATCGTGAGCGTTGGTCTTGGGTGTGAATTCCGGGTAGAGGATGATACTGTCGACGGAGATGTTCATGGAGGAGACGTCCAGGTGGCAGCGATCATAGCCTCCGAGGGAAATTTTCACTTCCGGGCTTGTAGTCCTGCAGATAACGACGAGAAACCAGAGGATAATTTATCCATCTCGAATCGTAAGTGGATAATTAATTCCCAAACATACGCGATGAGTTGGCTAGCAGCAGTCAGTACGAATCGATCATTGATGAGAACTCCACTGACTCGAGTGTTGGATTTCACGTGAACATCAGCGAGCCACGGGAATTCATGAGCAGCTGTATCCTCGCCACCAAGAAATCTCGCCCCCGCTCGATTCGATCGTCCACACACTGTCAATCAAATCAGTCTCAAATATTGATCCATCGCTGAATTAATCATCGATCAATGACTCACCACATCCTCCACAAGTTCTGAATCTTCCAAAAAGCAGATCGAGGACCCCTCTCCCAACTCTGGACCCCACCGCCTACCCAAATCATCCCAAAAACCAGAACCATCAGGCAAGATACTCCCCAGAACTCAATGAACACTTGGATGCACTCACCTGAACTCCAGTGGACCCCTGACAACCTGGTATCAAGCTCACAGCCATCACGCAGATGAGATATTTAACGTACTCTTGCAGATTCATGACTAGTCCCTCGGTAAGTCGAACAACAACTGCAGAGGTATCCCCCGGTGCTCGATGTTACATAGCGGTACTGCCCGCATCTCGATATTACACAGGACAACAGTATTACAGCATAAGCACCCGCGAGGTATTGAGGAAGCGATTCTCGTTTTATTTCTTTCGGCAGTTTTCAATGCGGTCAGGGCCTGATGGAAATCTTCACTGAGTATTCCGTTAATCCAGACTCTCTCTCTCTATTCGCCAGTGCACCTCTCAATATCTTCCTATTTCAATAAGGGAATGAATAAATTACGCCATCATTTTATCGGTGTTAATTCATTTATTCCATCATCATTAATACATGGCAATAAAGATGGTGGACATGTTAAAAATCTCGTTATGAGTTAAGATGAGGCCCTGAGGTCCTGAGACTCCTAGGTTTCACAGAAGCAGCCGTCCTTCGAGTTCTCCAGGACCCAATCTAAATAACGAGTGAGACGGGCATAAACTCCTGGATATCCGGGTCTTGCGCAGCCGTTTCCCCAGGAAATGATGCCTATGACCTCGTACTTCTTGTCATCCCTCTCAGCTATCAGTGGACCGCCGCTGTCCCCCTGCAGGAAAATTATATGAATCCCTCCGTAATTTGCTCCGATTTTTTTTTGCGCTCATCAATTACCTGGCAAGAATCCTTCTTCCCATCGGGATAACCCGCACACAGCATGTTATCGGATATCATGGTGGGCTTGTAACTAGTATTCCTACAGGCAGCCTGCGACATAACCGGGACCTCAACCCCCTGGAGGACACACGACACCTTCCCATCCTCTTTGAGTGTCCCCCAGCCCGCGGCTATAGCTTTGACCCCCTCATACGTCTTCGCTGAAAGGAAAAATACCAGTGAACCCCTATCGCAGTGGAATATTTTAACAACTAGTGAAAGTTAGCCGCAGATGGCGTAATGAAAAAAATTCTACCAGAGAAATTACTTAAAACGCAGATGCAGTATGAGTTACAGTAACAATGTCACAGTTTGTCAGAGGAATGATTTACGATTGTGATATAGAAATGGTATCATCAGACTCTGGATAATGCAGAAGGAAAAGGGGGAATGCCCTGATTTTTTATGTCCTTTCGCTGAAAGGCTCAGACGGTCTGGGGTACCCGTATGTCTGGAATTATCAACTGCTGTAATACGTCTCGTAATAAAAAAAGTGATAATGGGGCGGAACGGGGTCGCCTTGGTTTACGCAATTTGAAAAATTCCTCAGCCACCGCGTGATCGTCTTCCGGTGAGCTGAATTAATTGATAAGGGTGCATCGATTCTTACCTTTGACAGAGGGAAGACAGATGGGCCTGATCGAATTGCTCAATGGCACCCGATCATTAAGCCTCAGCAGTGCAATGTCATTATCGTAATCCATAAAATTAAAATCTCCAGTTATCGCGCGAATTACGAATCTCGACTCGGGCTGATTTTTCTCGTCGCACCGATCGTGCTCACCGAATGTTACCTTAATCATAAACCACATCAATCTGAAAACAATTCTGGAGATAACGATCATAGAATTTCCGGATTTTATTGTGAAGATCTGAGGTAATTACCCTCTGACACAGTGAGCGGCTGTCAGGACGTAACGATCATTGATCAATGATCCACCGCAGTAGAACTTGTGGAGGTAGGATAATCTCACCATCCAGGGATATTCGTTCACAGCAGTCGTCTGACCACCGACGATTCTGCTCCCCTCATTACGAACTCCGCAGCCTTAAATTATTGATAGTGAATTTATCGAATGGTGAAATTCAATTGATCTTGAATTTTTAATTGAATTGTTGAGGAGTACTCACTGCAGTAACAAGGCCCTGGCGGAGTCTCAGAATTCGGAGGTTTATTCCCGAATATTCCGAAGAAGTTTTTCACCAGATCACTACCCAATCCCTTCTCCTGAGCCCGCAGCTGCTTGATACCATCAGAATTTTCCCAAATCGTTGAATTACTCACTTCAGTCTTGCGACCCGCAGCCACAATTACAATTGCGAATGAAATTATCATGTGACACTTCATTGCTAATCTTGATTACACGTTGAATCTACAAATGCAATCTTGTGTCACCCAAAATTTGATCGGAAATATGGATTAATTGAACGTCAAGAGTTGGCAACGTTCATGTCCCTGAACCGTGTTGACGAGCTCTGGATGTCTTTAGTGCGATTGACCGGTCACCTGATGAGACTAGGAAAGAAGAAAGAGAAGGAGAAAATCCGGGGAAGGAGGTGAGGTAAAGGCTGGACGACTCGGCGCCTCGCTGGACACCATTTGAACATTTTAAGTTCACGTTCACGGTCAAATCCTGTCACTGACCGCAAGGCAAACTCACGCATTTTACACTCGATTCAATGCTTTTTCCCTTCCCCACCGCTGGGTTATTTTAAGCCGCATTTTAACAGTCACCACCCATGTGTTAGAACTTGGTGGAACAGGATTGAACGAGTAATGTGATGGAAAATATTGCGGTACCGTAATATGAGAATGTAAAGAGCAATCTAACATGCGACGCCCAAGGACCGGTTCAGTGCTGGGGTCGACAAACGCTTCGCGATATCCGAAGAACGCGCGTTATATTCATGAAATAATTGATAACTAGCCCAATTGTGGTTATCGCCGCAATAAATTATCTTTGAATTCCAGTAAACAATCAATTGTCCTACATTTGTTGCCTTTAAATAATTTTACAGATACCGAAAGTGTCAAATTTTTTGTAGGAAAATTGTCTAAATTGGAAAACTAAACCCGACAGGGCCACTTTCCCTAGCCGTAACCGCCAATGAAGTATCATTTTACTCGGTCATAAGTCTTCACACCTTCTGTGTCATAAAACCGTTAGCATTATTATTCCTCCAGCGTTCACCTGCTATCAGGTCATGTCATCATGTTGACAATAAATTTGGACAGAAAAAAAAATGACTTTCGTTAAAATCGACAAAAGGAATTCCTGTACACGATTTATTTCTATTTCTGTATATAGTAAGTGATTTATTTGTTACAAAAGCAGGTGTCTTGCATGTTGTTGTTGATCCAATTGAGATATCTCGTGACTCTCGTGTAAACCCCTGGATATCCGGGCCTCCCACAGCCGAGGCCCCACGACACAATCCCTGAAACGAAGAAACCCCTCCATTAAGTTTGCGAACACGAGCAAAAAGTTTTGAAGCCATAACTCGATAAGACGAATACTTACCGACTATTTCAAACTTATCACCTTCCTGCACGAGTAGGGGACCCCCGCTGTCCCCCTGACAGGAGTCCATCCTCCCTCTACCAGCGCAAATCATGTTATCAGTGATACGACTAGCTTTGTACTTCATCCTCTTGCACTGGTCGATCGTGAGGATCGGCACCTTAACTTCGCGCACCTCTCCCGCAAGCATTCCGCCCTCCATGGTGCGACCCCATCCAACGACGATGCCCTCCTTACCAGCTGGCTCCGTTGATGATGCTGGGAGACAGATGGGTTTTATCGTCTTGGAGAATTTAACTGGTTTCCGAAGCTTCAGCAGGGCCACGTCGTGATCGTAAGAGTTTATGTCGAAATTCCTGTGGCGAACTATTGCACTGACAGCACGCATCACAGACACCGCCTCGGTGTTGATCAGCTGATCGTGATCACCAAGGATGATCCGAATCTTTGATCGCTGTAACCTGGAAGGAATCAATAGCAAGTTGTTTGAATAGCCTCATGATGATTCCTGTCATGGCTTCCATGAAGTTTTGAAAGGTCTCTATCAATGAGTGAATTAATGAAGATTATCAAGTGAATCATACCTTCGGACACAATGGGCAGCGGTGAGGACGTAGTCATTCGTCAAGAGACTTCCGCCGCAGTGAAATCGACCTTCATACACCAAACGTGCTACCCAAGGGTAACGATGCGGTGCTGATGCTTGACCACCCACAATTCGATTCTCCTGATTATACACTCCGCACTCTAGAAACCAGGATAATCATCAAGCCGTGATTGATTGAGGATTATGTGATGTCATACCACAACTGCAATTCCGAATTCTTTGCTCGTTGCTCTCGCTGGCGGCACCGCCCGTGATGTCGATGCCGAATATCTCATCGAAGAGGAATTTACCGGAGCGGTTCCTCGGAGAGGTCTGCAACATTCAAGGACTCCATCAATGAAAAAAAAACAATAGATAAATCGATATAAATAAATCTGGCGCGGTTGACTCGCAAAATGCCTGAAGTCATCGACTAGTGAAAGTGCGACTGATACGAGTGTCAAGGTCTCACAGACCACCATCAGCTGCTATCAGTGCATCATGACTGTCACGCACACAAGACACTCACCGATGATCTTGACATTGACTGCGTAATCACAAAGGTCACATTGCATATTAGCTCGACTTACACCGAAGATTCTGGTGTCGCTCTCGATCCGGTGTGGCCGAATGAATCCGTAGACCAGCAAACACTGACAGCAAAATGCCAGAACAATAACCGAAGACCACCTCATGATAATCCCACAGCACTTGAACTAAATGACGATGAACTCTTACTATCAAAAATCTGTCTTATCCTGACTCAGCACTCTGCCCTCCCGTCTTTCGCGCGTCATATCTCAACGCCTGAGAGCCACAACGTACTTCATAATTTAATGGCTAATGATTTCGCGATGATCAATTTTGATTTTTGCTTTATTTATTCAAGGAGAACCCAGTGACATCGACGAGAAGAACTCCAGAAGCTTTCACCGGTCTCATAAACTCGCGCGATACTAATGATTGAAGTGAGCAGACGTGTGCTCGCACACCCGAAGAAAGTTCTCTCACCAGCTGGATGCCAGCCCCAGCTCGTCTCCCTTTCAGCCACTTACCAGTGAGTTTGCATTAATTAAGTATCATTAACATGCAGAAATGGATAAAACCAGGAGGAATCACTTTCTAACGCGGCTAGATACCGTAAAGCGGCAACTGTTGATCGAGAATATGGATTTTTACCATTCCTACAACGAAGTTGAGGCGTAAACCTACTTATCTTGTCACCGAGCTTCCCCACCTTGAGTAAAAATTCGAAACTCCATTTCGTAATAATCATGGGGGGAGATTTCTCTCACCAAAAACACAGGGGAATTCACCGGTGCCAAGGGGTTCGGGGATTGAGTCATTTTATTGTTGGCGCTCTCTGTGTTTATTATCTGCTTGTGACAATTGTTATAAGCTGCTAGTTAACTATTTCGCTCAGAGTTTCTCGGAATTGTGATACGAAATCGCTGACGAGAGGTGTTCTTACATCATTACGTGGATTTTTGTTCAATTTGTCTGGTTTTTGTTGGATGGAATGCTCGGATATGCCTTACAGTCGTGATATTTCCGTTTGAACTGAGGTATTGTGCGTAACGGTTCGATGGTTTCACTAACCTACATTCGCCCGTCGAAAGCAAAACGTTTTCTGTCGAGTGACCCGATTACCATTACTCATATCTGTGCATCGTGAGACATCACGTGATGATTCGATCTCATCAATTAGGTTCGAGGGGAGATTTATTCAGTAGTCAAGTGGAAAAGTGAAATAAGAAGAATTCAAAATTTTTCTTCATTATCGGTTTACCGGGGAAACGGTCGATTTACGATGGAAACGTCAGAGGAATTTTTCGTATCTCATTTGATTTTCGAGAGAAAAGATTTTTTTATATTTTTTGGTGAATCAATTTATTGATAATTGATAGCTAATGATCAAACACATAATCACAGTATCTCCATTCCTTCTCCCGTTATTCTAAACTTATGAGTTAAATGAGACTAGATTGTCATGAATATCGAAATTTTAAGAGCTGGGGGTGTGGATCTAGGGGTAGGAATTATAGTTGACCAGGGGATGGACAGATGCACTCGTCTTCCAATTGATCTCTCAGCCATCCCAGGTAGTTCGTCAATTTTGTATAGACACCAGGATACCTCGGCTGGGCGCAACCATGTCCGAAGGACGTAAGTCCGATTATTTCGAGATGTCCCCCAGGTGCCTGTGCCAACAGAGGACCTCCAGAGTCGCCCTGTGGAAATTGAAAAAAAATTATTGGGACTGAGTCCGGAGACTTTTCTAATTTCTTTTTTCTCATACTCCACAAGAATCTCGTTCTCCCTCGAGATAGCCAGCGCAGAACATGTTCTCAGTGAGACGAGACTCTGGGTAACTTGACTCGGCGCATTCCTCGTCGGAGAGGACAGGCACCTGAACTTTTCGGAGGTACTGGCTGGTCTCTCCGTCTTGAAGGGTTCGCCCCCAACCGATTGTCGTGGCCAGAGAGCCCGTGTAATCGATAGCCCCTGAACAATTACGAAACATCAGATAATTTTTCATTCAATGTGAATGATTAATCATTGTCAATTGCAAAAAAAAAAATCAATTATGGATTTACGGTTTTCTGGGAGACAAGCCGTTTTTACACGTCCATCTAATGCCACTGGCCTGTCCAACTCGATAACAGCGACGTCATTATTCAGAGTGAAGCCGTTGTAATCGTCTGGTACACTCCAACTCTTGATTCTTCGTCTGACAACGTACGGGCCTCTGCTCGTGATATCAGTGATACCCAGGTACAACGTGAACTCTCGACTGTCGAATCTGTGAATTATTTTGATGTGGATAAGTACCAGCTGTCAATGAGAACTGGGCTAGACTAATTTACTTGACTAAGCAGTGAGCTGCGGTAAGGACGTGACGCCTTGTAATTAAACTTCCTCCACAGTGGAATTCACCAGCTTTGGTCAGTCCAACAATGTAGGGAAATTCTTGGGAACTTGTGACATCCCCTCCGACTATTCTCTGCCTCCTACCCCCTCCGCAAACTGCAATCGTAACGCAATAATTTTTTCATCACAAATTAATCCACTCTGTATTTCAATTTCGTAATTGATAATCGGGTCAATTATTTTATGAAAGTCAAGTCTTTTTCGTCAGATTAAATTGCCTCGGTAATTTTTTTCTGACCCGACTTTGGATTCCGCAGAATGAGAAATTTCTCAAATACAATGACTCACCACAATCACTGCAAAACTCGGGACTTTTGGGATAAGCAATAGGAGCTGGATTGCCCTCACTATCACTGTCCTCATCAATGGTGCTATCCTCATCAATAGACTGCCTGCTAGTCGCGTTGAATGATCCTGAGCCACTGGACCCCGTGGACCCAACTTTTCCATAACGTCCCTACAATAAAAACAAAAAAGTTTTTCCCTCGAATTTTTCCAATTACCCCATGAAAACTTACCAAACTCGGTAGGGCCCAAACTTGTACGAGACTGGCCCACCAGATAACCCCAGCACACACCATAACAGCTGGTACCACAGCCATAATAAATCACCAGAGACTTGGAAAAAATCGACGTCAACTCGAGGAGTCCAACGACCGGGCCACCGATACCCTTCAACTTGCGTTGACGATTGCAAAGTGGACGTGCCAGACTGTTTTGCCGTTTTATAGTAAATTATAACTAATAAACTGTAGTTGCTGGTGGGGCGTCACCTTGGCCGGTGCGTTTGCATTGGCAGATGTGCCGCCAGGCCTTTAAATCATTCTTGTCCCCAGCCATTACCACCCAACGTTTGTACTACACCGTGGAATCATATGGATCGGCTTCGAGACGTGTTGCAATACTCCAGCCAATGTTATTCGAGGATAAATTCACTCAGTAACACGAACATTGTCAATCCCACAATGGTATCCCCTGCTGATACCCGCCCTCCCACGCATTAATCAACGGATTTTTCGCGGAACCCCCGCGTCACCATTTCGTAACCGAAAACGAAAGTTGCTCCCTGCGATGATCACTGCATCTCCACTTTCTTCTCCACTGTCTTCTCCACGTGTCTCATCAATCTCATCTTCAATTTGTCATCATCTCGGTGATGACAATGAAGTACATTCTAGCTGCTCCTTGCGACATCTTCGACCTTGTGCCATTGACGATGATCCACATCCTGAGGTAATAAAATAAATCCATTATCGATGAAGGATTTGCCATCTGGCTTAGCACAGTGCAATCAGGTCGGCGTTAATCTGTCGGTTGCCCTTGAGCAGGAGACAATCACCCTCCTTCGAGTTCCTGGAAGATTCTCAGTCGACCGGTAACCAATTACTTCTCTGATAAAGAAAAAAATCAGAGAAATGGACGTCGGCTGTTTAAAAAAATATCTGAATTCGATGATTCCATAATTTGACCCTGACGAAAGATAAATCAAGGCTTCACCGATAAAAGAATCTCCATTTAGGCTCCAACTCGTCATGGAAATAAGACAATGGGGCAAATCGCGACGCACTGTTGACACCCGCATGAGGGTGCTGTGACCCATATACCTTGACCCACTGTCAATTACGGATTCACAGGTACATCGGTCCACGGCGATAGCCCAGTAGCCAGTCTCCACGAAAAACAAGCAAATCCTTATCACCTATCCTTATCTCTCTCGAAATCCCACTCGTCACGATAAGAGTTCCAAATAATTCTCGGAATATAATTTTGGGAAAAACACATTTGGCTGTAAGAAAATATTCTCCTCGCCAATTAATTAATTACATCCCTGATAATTGCCCCCTCGCATTGAATTAGCAACTGAATTTTTTGACCTGAGCCTTGATTTCCTCATATGTGTGTCATCCGAGTGAACCAGGTCAGCGCGATATTTCGGAATTGACAAAAAGAAAATATATCCGCTTGCCCGAGGAGTGATAAGGAAATAATTTGCGCATGTCTTAGATATTTATCTCGAGCAAGCGGTGCTCAGGTATTTGATCACGTGCTGATAACACTTGGTTAAACGACTTCATATTAAACATGAGGGTCGAGTGAGGGGGGTAAACCTGAATTAAAATACTGCTAGCCTAAATTTTCACTTGGTTGTACTCGTTTGTCCGCTATTCCGTATAAATAACGATGTGGTATCGATGAAGAAGGCTTGTGTGAAAGTGACCGTCGAAGTGAATAGTCCGCGGTACATCGGGTATTGCAAGTACTAGTGCGTGTGTTCATTGATTAAATATGAAGAGAACAATAACAGTGTGGGGATTGCTGATGGAATTGATATCAACCTCTGGATTATTCGTGGATGGACAAATTCCTGGAGTCCGATCACCCCTGGTGATTCCAGAGGACGTCTGGGCAGTGATCCTGAAGCAATCGGCATTGCCAAATTTTGGGGAACACCTGTCGCTGAATTCGAAGGTGACCTCTCCATTATCACCAGGAGCATTGCCCTGATAACCCTCTAACAGTGACACTCATCTAACACCTTGACCTGCTTCCGTATCTTAACGATGAATTGAAGTTATTTTGGCAGTTTGAGTTCATTAGCTTGGGCTAATTCCACAGGATGTGATTCCCGGACTGAGTGGTGATAAGTTTGAAGAGGGATTTGTAGACAATCCTTTATTGTCTGAAGGTGAATTGGCACACCCACCAGATTGGTCTGTTGATAAGAATGGGGGAAAACCACATGTTGAATGGAGACCTCATGATGATAGAAATTCAACGACAACGAGACCTAAACAAGAGATCATTGATCCGAGGGGAAATGCCACAAGTCAGACGAACGCAGGATCTGATGTCCCTGATAAAAATTTTATCGACTGGGTGCTCAATCCCTTCACAACCACAACGACGAAAGCCACACCAGTTGCGCCTGAGGATTGTCCAGCATGCCGTATGTATCAGGATATTCCCGGATTTTTCCCAATTCTCAGATTTTTGATAAATCGATTTATTCCTCAGAGTGCGGCTTGTCGGCACCTCCAAATCGAATAGTCGGTGGTGCCGAGGCCCAAATGGCTAAATACCCGTGGGTCGTCTACCTGACGTACAACAATAAATTCTACTGTGCAGCATCGATAATCAGTGATCGTTATGTGCTGACCGCAGCACATTGCGTCGATCGGTAATATAATCAATTGAATTGATTCGATTAATTGCTATCTCTCAGGATAAATTTGAATGTTAATTATTATTGGTCGACGTGACTTCTGCATCGACAGCTTCAACAAGAATCAGATGAGGGTAGTAGTCGGTGCTCACAACCGGAGTGATACTTCGGAGACGATGACGTATCGAGTGGCGGATATTATTAAGCATGGGAGTTATTCCACAGCAAACTACAACAATGATATCGCCCTCATCAAGATAGATGGGAGGATAGTGTTTAAGGGGCCGATGAGGCCCGTCTGTTTGTCGGACAGGGGTTGGTATTAATGGAGGCAGACAAAACAATGGATTGCCCTAATAAATATCGTTTTAGGACCGACATACGCTGGATGGCAAGGCATAGTCACCGGTTGGGGTGCTACTGTCGAATCCGGAAGCACTTCTAATACTCTGCAGGAAGTGGCAGTGCCCATCATGACCAATGCTGCTTGTCGGGCCACCAAATACCCTGCAAGGAAAATAACCGAGAATATGATGTGCGCTGGGTATCCCGAGGGGGGACAGGACTCGTGTCAAGTAGATCACCGATTTATTATAATAAAAAAAAAATTCATTACAATTAATTAATATTAAATTAGATCGTGAAGAATTCTGAATTCCGGATATTTTTAGGGAGACAGTGGTGGCCCTCTCCACGTGCTCGATGGCAAGACCTACAAAGTGGTGGGTGTGTATCGATTTTTTCTTTTCTCGAGTGAGCATTTTTGGGTAATTCAATTGGTATTCATGCTCTTATCATTTCAGGAATAGTCTCGTGGGGCGAGGGTTGCGCCGCACCAGGATATCCTGGTGTTTACGCACGAGTCAATCGATACATAACGTGGATAGAGTTCAGAACCAAAGATTCGTGTCGGTGTTTAAGCGACAATTAATTCAGAGGATGTAATTTGGATCGATGGTTGATTGTGATGGGCTTGTAATTAATGTACACAATACTTTGAAAGCTCAACAGTTTTATTTATTTCGGTTTGTCAGTTCAGGCTGCTGTTTGAAGGCACATTCTGGAGATGATACATTTGATTTATTGTGCTGGTATAGTGGAGTGATTGATTTTGTGATTTATTGCTCAGGCCTCTGGGAGTTGAATCGATGGAATGGCTTTCGGTCCAGTTATCGATGGTACTGCTGTGCTCTCGTAGAGCCAATATGTCTCCATCTTGCCTTTACCCTTCAAATAAAATATGATACAGTCGAAAGGGGAAGAACCGACACGGTTCGTTATTTATTATTTTTTTTTATGACTTTTGACGCTCACCTTGACCGAGACAATCCCACGTGATTCTGTGCGATAAAGTTCGGGTGATAAAAGGGCTTTAGTCGCCGGAGATATGTGGATTTTCCCTGGCTGCAATAATAAAGTGAATTTCATTGAAGATAATGCAAAAAGGGGGGGTATATTTGAAAATATATTAAAAAAAGACTAACTAAACTAGTTGTCTGCATTCTGGATGCCGTATTGACAGTGTCCCCGAAGAAACAATATCGGGGTAATTTGAGGCCAACAATCCCAGCGACAGCAGGTCCGGAGTGTATCCCTGGAGAGAGAAAGAAAAACCTCGGAAGTAATAAAGGCCCATGACCCACACATGTCCCCCGAAATCATCGGACCTACAGCTTTTCATTTCCCGGTCAACTGCTCACCTATCCGAATTTGTATAGCGACGCCAGAAGGTAATTGAAGGGAGCGCACCCGTGTGATGAGCTGCAGCGAGACGTCAGCAATATTCCTGGCATGATTCTTAGTACGATCAGGTGCTCCACTGGCAGCCATGTATACACGTCCAACAGTCTCGACCTAGAGTAATGAATTATTCAACATTCCGTGTTCCACACACGTAATTGCACCCTCGACCAGTCAAAACCATCAAACGGTGACAACGGTAATTACTACACCTTGTAAACTTTGAACTCGTCCATGAGACTATCAAAGAACGTGAAGACAGCGTTCATCGATGAGACAATGTCCATTGCTTCTTCAATAGTTGACGAATCGAAGTCGCACAGCTCGCAGAATAAAACTGTGATAGACTCGAAGGACTGGAACAAAAAAAAAAGTCAATTGTCTCCCTATTTTTTTAAACTCTCAAAACAGAGACCAATTATTTTTCCATTACCTCACACGTGCTGAGAGGACTCACACCAGCTCTCAATCGATCTGCCACAGTTTGTGGTATCATCGTGTACAGCAGTTCTTCACTTCTGTTTTTCCAACGATCCAAGAGTGCATAACTATTCTCAAGCTCCTCCGATCTCTGCTCCTCCCGTTCAAACATCATCTCCAGCCTGAAATTGTAAGAGCATTTGGCGAATAATTTCCAAATAATTTATTGAATACTCCGTTCTACAACGAAACAATTATCGGATGAAATTGAGATGAATCTCAGATAACTCCACAAACATTAACAATTTATGTTGATGAGTGAAATTGAGTGGAGTATTTTTCAATTAGAATACCTGCCGCAATGCTGCCAGCCGGTGAGCACCATCTCCCGGCTCAATCCGTGGGGGTTCAGATCGTTGAGATAGATTCCCATATCTCCCAACTCGTCGAGGCTATTTATTCTGTGAACCAGTGATTTATTGTCTCTCAAATTAATTGTCCGTTGGTGGAAGGGAATTGATTGTATTAATTATTATTCTCACAAAGGGCTGCAGAGGAAGATTATCGCTTTTATATCCTCGAGATATCTCATTTGACCCTTCAACAAAATACTCCTGGATACGTAACTGCCTCTGTCCAATTTTACGGGGAGAATTTCAGCGTCCGTTTCCGGTTTTTTTGAATGATTTTCGTTGAATCGGATCAATTCCAATTCGAACATCACGGAGTGCAGGAAACGCACCTGAATGATAGATAAATGAAGTGAAGAATATTATTTCCTGTGAAGAGACGGATCGAGAATTAATTAATTAATGATTTACGTTAGCCCAGGTGAATGATATCCCCTTGGGTCTGTGAAGCTTGAAGACCTCAGTCATTTGCCTATTTAATATTGAACACGATCCACCCCAGGCCTGCACCAACTTCTCACCCGCGCCCAACAACTTCATATCCGGGTTCATCACGACCCCAAAAGGAAACAGCCGGAGGAGCAGGGTACAGCAAAATGGTGATAACTCCGGACCCACTGATGTTTTTATTCGATTCACTTTGGCGATCTACAAAATGATAACCATACGCGCATAAATCTCTCGATAAATTGGTTATTTTATTTTTTAAAGAATATTTGTAGAATATTCCGTTTAGTGAATTAATCATTCAAGCGTCGACTCACGTAATCGCGATTATCGAAGTCTATCCTGAATTTCACCATGACACTCCTCGCTCCAGGATTATCGTCCGTCGTTTCTAATACACGAATGTCAAGACTAGTTTCGTAGAGATCTTTGGCTATTTGGAAAAGCTGACCTGTGATTGGAAAGACCGGAGGGTTTATTAGACGTGGTTTGGGAATTTTTGCGAATGATTCGAGTGATAGAATATATTTAATGGATTTTCTCGAGGGAAAATAGTTAATGAATTATTCACTCCGAGTAGAGATTTTCATCTAATGCTCACTCATGAAATACTGGGTGAATCCCTTCCTGGTGCTCGTATAAACGAGGACAACCCCATGAGGATCCACGTGGGTTATGTACATGGAAGGGCTCTTCATTTTTGGGTAGGTGAATCTCATTTGCATGTGGATGTTGTCGACACTCTGCAGGAATTCACAGAAATAACGACCAGTGGCTTTGATCATACGGTCGTACCTGCCAGCGTGAAAGATGTTCTTGATTTCTTTTTTTTAAACCAATCGTAATCGTAATGAGTGATAGTTACCCGAGATTACTGAAGAATCTGACAAAACACTTTCCAAAGAATCCCATCATATTATTCTCCGAGTCTCCAATTTTTTTCGCCAGTGCCTTTGCTAAATTCGGCATTAAACTATCTGGATATGTTTGCCGAGTGGTGAATACTGTGTTCTTGGCACCCACTTCTTGGAGAATGTCCAGCCATATCCTTTCGCCGTACTCCAGCTGGAGAAATAAGATGGAGACTGTTTTTATAGGTTTTTTGACGAGTCATTATTGGTGGTGACGGGGTGAATTGCTTTTCTCCGTTAAAGTTTTGTTCTCTCAGCGATAATGGGAATCAACAGATTTACCCTGTTCTCATCTTCTCCGAATTTTTTGCTCACTCGATTTATTATTTTTTGCTGGAGAAATCCACTAGGGGCCGGGATAAATCATTACTCTTTCAATATTTCTCATTACACTCTAAAATTCAATCCGCAAATAATAATGATTATTAATTGATAGGGCAATCAAATATATTACTGAATAAAAAATATCGAACGGTCAAGAAAAAATCAATTGCTCACAGTCACGGTATCAATTTCAATCGGCCAGCTGTGTCAATCGCCAATTTTCCATCGTCATCTAATCTCAATAATAATTCCACCATTGAGTAATTAAACATTCAAATGTATTTCATGCACGCTCCATTGACGCAATACCCCCGTCCACTGTTTCACATCAATGTCTTCTCATTCTCTATTTTTATTTTCGGATAAAAAGAACAGAACAAAAAAATTCAACGAAATACGGAATAAACGGAAGTATTATTGATCACCGTGGATTCGCATACAAATAATAAATTTAATTGGATGCACGATTGTTTATAGTCGCAGGTGGTGCGTGACTGAAATCCACAAAAAGTCGTATGTCATTTTATTATTCTTTAATTGAATTTTTTCAAGAGCGAATGGAGCGTTCGTTGGACGTTCCAATCGTCAATTTTCCCCATTCTATACTTAATTTCGAATGGAAATTGCCTGTCGTCACCCTAATTAGAGTTGTTACAACTCCAGGTTAACGATCTCTCGATAAAAATAAAAATAAACAAAAAAATTCCACCATTTCCCCTGGGTTATCACCGAGCGGTCGAGACAAATCTCCAATAATCATAATTTTCCAGTTTCTCTATTTTTACATAGACCGGCTCATATTTTATCATTAATCCACATTTGTGTCCTAAGACCATTTTTTTGGGAGATGATCATGAATCACAGAAGGGGAGAAACTTTCATGAATTTATGTTATATTATTTCATTTCTATCAAGTCCACCCTTGACTCTACCTTTTCCCTCCTGGAGGGTTTCACTGACCTGCACGAAGTGCTGGACGCTTTCCAGAAGCATTCCATACATTTTCCAGTCTCTGTTCTTCTTCCAACTCCAGGTTCCAGGTGCCAGGCTCCAGGTTCCACAGAACGTTCACCAATTGATTTACCCCCGCGAGAATAATCAATTCATTTTTTATCCATTCCAATTGCCCACCCCCACAGGACCAGTCGCACTTGGATTCCCATTGAAGTGTTGCGTTTAAAATTTATATTTTACGTGTTCGAGGGTTGACTGGAGGGTTGAGGTACCAGAGCCCCGATGTTCACACGCTGGAGGCGCGAGGAACTTTGAGTTGTCTTGAGCTCTGGTGAGCACAAGGGTGGCTGATCCCGCGCGTTATTATACCACTCCAAAGTCGTGGATACGTATGCCGCGTGCGCGAGGTGCGTAATGATAATGACGGCTCATTAATCCCGAAGGTTTTATATTATGTACGTGAGACCTCTAGTCTTCCCAAACACTTGTGGAGGAGAACCGATAAAAACAGCCCTTCCCCCTCGTTTCACCCCCTCTCCTTCAATCATTACTAATTACTAATCTATGTTGTTTTTTAAATCGCTTAATTTTCGGATGTTTAATTTTTTTTAATTTCACATTTGAAATTGAGAGGAATCCGATAATTGAAGCGGGAAAGATGAATTTATTTCTGAGTTATGGCAACTCGAAATTAATATGAGATAGAAAATTCTGAAAATCGTGTAATAATTTTAATATTTTAATATAATTTAAAAATCCGATAAATATCGGCGATTGAGCTCTTAGCGATAGAGTAGAATTGAAAAGGCAAGAGTCTGACTACTGATAAGTCAGAAAATTGTGTTATCAACTGCCGAAGAGATTTATTTTTAATTCATCGGCAATCGATAAATAATTTCTCTTTTTTCACCTCCAGCAAATGAACAATTCCTAATTAATCCTCTCTCAATTGAATTGCCGAACAATCCGATATCCCCCATATTATTATAATAATAATTATTATTATGGATATAATTTTTTTATTATGATTATTACGGCTTAGAATAATATTATTTATTCGTTTCAACAAAGAATCATTGTGTGACATCAACATATATTTCCTTTCAGGTCACCTGATACCAAACATCTCTAGCCGGAAGGTACAGGTGCACCAGAGGTGAGTAAAAATTTTTCTCATGCATGAATTTTCCGAGAATACCGTAACAGTCGTACCATATCAAGGAATCCTCCCGGCGAAACACAAAGACGTACAGCATGAAGGACTGAGGATCTCCTCCGGCCAATCACAAATAATTCCTCTCCCCAAGAAACCCACGGAGTCGTTGAATTTTTATTTTCATTTCCACCTCCATTTTCCATATCATTTTTATCGTGTCCCATACCTCACCCGAACGATCATAATTTTTCAATGGAAAAAATCGGAGCAAGATGTCGCCAAGCTCGAAGGGGTTGCCACCCCACCCCCAGCCCTCCCAGACCCCCCACCAAAGAGATAAACCCTGTTGAATGAAAAATCACGAGTGAATCAAGTCAAGCGTGTGTGGAGGGAATATCCCGTTCAATCGAGGAGCTATTGATATTTGGCTTGAGATACACGATCGTTGTGAGGCGTGATCGATTACTGCCGGTGATTACCCAGGAGTTGATTGAAATTGCAGACGATTAGGAGGTACATTATATCGATCTGATGATGATTGACATCTCCCGACAAGTGTCTAACAGTTAAATCAAGTAGAAATTTATATTGAATTATAATCGTATCAACTCGACGGAACTTGAAATTTCGGGAATAATTCAAGCGATATATTGAATGAATTTGAATAATTTTTAAATTATTGATTTGACCCCATCGGAGGGCTCATGTCCTGGGGCACCCCAACGCGTCAAGAACCGAGAGTTCTCAATACAAATTCAACAGAAAGTTGAAAATCGTCTTGCGTCGTTCGTTGGGAAGATAAACTCGCGAGATAAACTAGGGAAGGTCTCCCTCGAGCTAGGCGAGGAAGAGGCAAGCCGGAAAATGGGAGGGTGTGAGGGTGTAAGAGTGAGGACTAGGGTGGAACCGCGGCGTGCACTGTTTCTGTGTCACATTTACCCATTTTCCTCTTGGGTCTCCTTCACACTGTACACCTCCTCCACCTACTTCATGGTACCCTCTACTTTACTTTGTCATTTCTCCCCGCACCCCTCACGCCACTTTAATCGTGCATATAAACTTTCTTGGGGGAAAATTCACGACTTGTGCGAGACACCGCGTCACACTGTCAACTTAAAAATTACTGAAATTTACGGATAATTGCACGCGATTCGATTTTATTATTGTCGTCTGGCTTTTTCGATCCACGATCGATATCCTATAGATCGATTTTTTCATTTTTCGGTATCAAGTGAGGAGGGTACGTAATTTATGGACATTATTTCGAGTTGATAAATTATTTGACGATCTGTAGTTCATAAACATTTATCGAATAATAGCCGATTCAATCCGATTCGAATAATCGATAATTTTAGGCTGATGGAAATAGTCTACTTTCGTTTGATTAGCATGAATCAATGTCTCTGGTAATGGTTAATGTAAAGTTTGGCGCAAGTACTATTTGTTATTTGTAAAACGATGAATTTCGGAATATCCAACGGGCTGCGAACTTGTCGGTCGTAAACATGGAGCATCGATTATCGTAATTGGCGATGGTGTTGGCTAGCCTCTCTGTTCCTCCGTACCCTTTCATTCGATCGCCCCACCTCCCCAGTCTCCACCCAATGAACGAATCGTGGTCACACCAGGGAAATTCATGGTAGTTCGATCACCGAATAATCCATTAACAACTTTGACCAAATTCAGTGTTCGCAACAATATTACTGGGTTGAAACTTCAGCATTCTGGTGCGTTTGGGAGAGAATTTTTCAGAAATCCACTGAATTTTTGCTTTAATCAATGGACTCATTGACAGTCACGTAATTCTAAAGGTCTTCCTGCGTGGAGTATCGTATCCATTCAGTTTTTAATTAACTGAAACTTTTTGGCATCGAGAAAAAAAAAAATTGTTTTCCGGGTCGTACAGTTTTTACAGATTTTTTCACTTGAACCTAGTGAAAATAAAAACTTTCTTTTCTCTTTGTAATAATTCCTTGATCATTCAATCATCGACACTCTATTGAATTTTCAAATAATTACCGCAGCATTCTCAATTGTTAAATGTATTTTGTTAATTAATAATTTTCTACTTCCCTGTCCTCGTTATTGGAGGTATAACTTTTATTTTTCCTCTCGGAATGGTCAATTTATAATTCAATTATTCGCAATGTGTGCACACTTTCAGAGTCCCGGTTTTGCTGGAATTTTATTAATTACAGTTTGACGTGGTTCTCGCAATAAATAAACTCCACATGAACAATATTCCATAATGAACTTCATAATGAGCCCTCACCTGTCTAAAAACTATTTACAGAGTTAACGTGGCGATTCATTCACGAAATATCTTCAATCGTGTTGCTCATTCAATAATTAATCAAAATCTCGACTGCCTATCCATCATTTCACGCCTCTAGTTCTCCCTCACCAGAACACCACGTGTCACTAATAAATAGAACGAATAGAACAAGTCCAATTGATGTCTCTCAATGTCAGAGATGAAATCAATCAAATTACACCAGTTCAAATCACCTCCAAATCCACTCTTACCTCATCTTCAAGCCATCCCAATTTTTATCAATAAAAAAAAACTCCAGACAAATGATAAAAATTCTGTCAACAGAATTTATAGTCTCAAACAAGTGCAATGGAAGCGAGAATTTAAGTGGAAATTTCGCGTATAGATTTTATGGATTCAGTTGTCTCAAGTATATTTACTTGGCAGAAAGTATTATTTATCTTGAAATTGATGCCATCGACAGGAGAATCCGTCGTCTATTTTCAATTCTCGGAAATAAAAATACAACTCGGTAGCATCGGTCAGCATTACTTGTCGTCATTTGAAAGATGAATGAGGATGAGTTTGGAGTTTTTCTCCGACGAAATCTGCAGACTCCATAGAATCAAGGCATCTGAGCGTAACCTCACGCCCTCCCCCACCCATTACCCACCTCTTAAGACTGTTTTCCCCGGAACATTGTAGATTCCCTGGAATATTTTTGCTGAGTAATCTATCAGCATTACAAATACCCACAACTACACGTCTAAGAGTCAATCGTTGCGCGGTACAACCCCGCGAATTATCTGATAAATTCAAATCACTCAGATTATTAATTGATTTTTCATCAATCATATTAAAAATAGTCTTTGATGAAATATTAAAAATATTCTCAAATAGTGTCTGCCTCGTCTCATTACTGAATATTCGAAAGATCCAATTAACGGATTTCCTTTCCGTCTTTTGGTCTATCGACGATAGAATTGAAACTTCAGACGATCCGTTGTTGCCAGAGCCACAAAGGATTGTCATTTCTCTAACATAGCCCGAGGACACAGTGCCTTAGTTTCTTCGGTAAGCGGCAAAAGGAAGTACCTGAAAAGCAGATGGAACTATACCGCGAGGATAACGACGCCCTCTCCGAAAATCATCATCCCCATTTGGTGTGCTCTTTATTTTTCTAATTCAATTTCCCCCCTTCACAATTTTCTCGACGTACCTCCCATCGCCATCTTTTACCGCACGTACGCCTGATAATTTCAGGCACTGGGCTCTTACCTTTTATTTCTTCCATTCGTTCTCTCAACTGCAAGAAGGATACGTGCACCATCATCCATTGTTACAACGGTGGAACGTAAATCGATGCGACAAGCTCGAGGTAAACCGGAAGCATCCGGAGTCCTTGATGGTCAGTATTTCCACCTCTTTCTATTCTCACTTCTCCACTTTTCTTTCCATTCACGTGGACTCTGGCATCTCTGCGTGTAACTTTTCCGATGATTTTTTACCCTCTATTTGTTTCCATCGGGCTTTCTCTTCGTATCAACGAAAAATAAAAAAAATCCTCCGGATGGATTCCGTCTAGACACAAATAGCCGGGGCTGGACAATCCTCGACTTCAGGGAAACCCTGCCAACTCGTTTCTTCACCGGAAGAAATTCATCAGGAGTTTTCAATCATTTGAGTCGTTATTGTTCGAGACCTGGTTTTTCTCTTCTACTAATTGCACACAGAGGCGAGATGGGACTATTCACCGGTGAAATCGAGTGAAATCGTATAGTGTCGTTGAAATAAAAAATTACTAGCCCCTAGGGATGAGTATTAATAATTTTTAGGGATACGACCACTGAAATTTCAATGAATTGTCAATTTTTCCTTGAGGTAGAGGTTCAGGATTGAAGGGAAAGCGAAATAATTACAATGAATTCCAACAGAATTCTCTTGTGAACTCGATGAATTCAATTAGCT